TCAGCTGCGCAATTACTTCGTTTAAGGAGAGTAGTCTCAAAGACTACTATTGCAGGTATAGGAGGTGAGCATAGCAAGATCGTTTCTAAACATGTAGTGAATATTGATATTCAATCGTTGCATGATTCCTCTTATACCATAAACGTAACTGCGCATGTACTACGTTCACTGACATCGGTTATGCCAGATAAGAATGTCAACCTTGACAATTGGCCAGAAATTCACAGCATACGTCTAGCCGACCCAAATTTCAGTCGTTCTAATAAAATTGATATTTTATTAGGGGGGGAAGTATACTGCCGTATTTTAAAGGAAGGTCTGATCAAGAGTCCTACAGGCTCTCCGGTCGCACAAGACACGCATTTAGGTTGGATTGTGTCAGGCTATGTCAGTAAGGCAGATAGCTCTCTAAATTCTCATAATACTATAATCACGATGTACACTCAATAAAGAGAATGATATGTTAAAACGTTTATGGGAATTGGATTCCGAACCTGCTATAACGAAAAAGCTTCTCACGCCTGAAGAACAGGCCTGCGAAGATTTTACGCACAATCGACAGTTAGAGATGTCAATGGGAGATATGTCGTAAAATTACCTTTTCGTTCCGAAGATCCACTTTGTAAATACGGTAATTCTAAAAATATAGCTGTAAAAAGATTGCTAGGTTTAGAAAGGAAGCTGGGTAGGGATGATGAATTAAAACAACAGTATGCTGATGTAATAAAAGAATATTTATTGCTAGGTCATATGGAGAAAATCGTTGATAAGGCTGAAATAAATAAAAACGATGCTGTTTATTTGCCTCATCACGCAGTGGTTAGACAGGATAAATTAACCACTAAGGTAAGAGTGGTTTATGACGCGTCATGTAAGGGAACGAACGGGGTTTCCTTAAATGACACCTTAATGGTAGGACCCACTCTTCAGGCAGATTTGCGACATATTGTCATGAGATGGCGTCAACATCCGATCTGTCTGGCTGCCGATATCGTCAAAATGTATCGCCAAATCAAGGTCGCTCGACCTGATACAGATTATCAAAGAATTGTTTGGAGAGAGAATCCAAACAAAGAGATCGAGGATTACCGACTTCTGACTGTCACCTTTGGTACGTCATGCGCTCCTTACTTAGCTGTAAAGTCGTTGCAGCAAGTTGCGTGCGATGAAGGCGAGAGGTATCCAATGGCTGCTGAAAGGGTGAAGTCAGACTTCTATATGGACGATCTGATGACTGGGTGTCAATCTGAAACAGAAGTAAAACTAATTTATGATGAAATGAATTGTCTATTAGAGAAAGCGGGGTTCCAATTGCAAAAGTGGACAAGCAATAGACCATCCATTTTGGAAACGTTGAAGGAAACTTCTGGTAGAGACCTTGAAATAAAAATGGATAGTATAACTAAGATTTTAGGACTTACCTGGAACCGGAACACTGATGAATTTGATTATTCTGTGAAGATGTCACCTCCTGCTGCACCTGAAACAAAAAGGACGGTTATATCAGAGATATCAAAGCTTTATGATCCGTTGGGTTGGATAGCACCGTGCATTATAACCTCGAAGGTTTTCATACAAAAGCTATGGATTAGTGGAATCGGCTGGGATGATGAACTGCCACCAAATCTCTTACAAGAATGGTCATATTATAGAGCAGAGTTAAAGAAACTGGTAAACTTTCACATTCCTAGATGGATACATAAAAGCGAAAAAGATATTACAATGGAGTTACATGGCTTTAGCGATGCGTCAAATATAGCTTATGCGGCTGTGGTGTATTGTCGCATTGTCGATGCTAATGGGCAAATACACTCGCACCTCATAACCGCAAAGACAAAGGTAGCTCCCATCAAGCAAATATCCATTCCACGGCTGGAGTTGTGCGGTTCTGTTTTAGTAGCAAAATTATTGATTGATGTAGCTCAAGTAATGAACATTCCTAAGGCAAATATACATGCTTGGACGGATTCATCAGTTGTTTTGGCCTGGTTAAATGATCATCCAAGTCGATGGAAAACTTACGTGGCTAATCGTACTTCTGAGATTCTTGGTTTGCTAGACAATTCACAGTGGGCTTATGTTAAATCTAAAGAAAATCCAGCAGATATAGCTTCCCGGGGAGTGTCTTCAGCATTTCTCCTTGGTGATGATCTTTGGAAACATGGACCTGGTTGGTTAAGGAATGCTCAGATAGACTTCACCCGGCCTAGTGCCATTCATACTAATGAGGAGTTAAAGCAAGTTAATGTTCACACTGCCAGCGTAGTGCCTGATTTTGAAGTCATTTGGGGATCTAAGTATTCATCACTTTCACGTTTGGTGAGAGTTGTTGCGTATTGTAAAAGATTTTTGCAATCATTAAAACTTCGTAAAGCGAATATTAAGGTTGCAAAATACCTGTCAGCTTCCGAAATTCACAAAGCGTTGAATGTATGTATCAAACAAAGCCAACAGCAATGGTTTCAGGCTGAATTGACAGCCCTGAAAAATAAGAGTCCATTGGAAAGGTCGAGTTCTTTATATAAGTTGAATGTATTTATCGACCAATGTGGGATATTGCGAGTTGGAGGAAGGCTACGGTATTCACCATTACTTGATGATACAAAGCACCCAGTTGTTATTCCTCATGATTCAAGTTTGGCTAAGTTAATTGTAGCCGACGCTCATGAAAGGACCTTTCATGGAGGACAGCAACTGGTACTTAATTTTATACGCATCAAGTACTGGATCAGTCGGGTTAAAAATATTGTACGAGCTTATATACGTCGTTGTGTTCGCTGTATTCGATACTCGGCGACCACGAATCAACAGCTTATGGGAGAACTTCCGGTTTGCAGAGTGACTCCCAGTAAGCCGTTTCTGAACTCCGGTGTCGATTATGCAGGCCCTATTCACATTAGAGTCTCCAAAGGTCGTGGACAGCGGTCGTATAAGGGGTACATCTGTTTGTTCGTGTGTATGGCTACGCGCGCAGTACACATAGAGGTTGTTTCAGATTTGACGACTGAGGGTTTCCTGGCAGCGTTCAAACGGTTCGTTTCTAGGCGCGGTCACTGTCGTCATATCTGGAGCGACAATGGTACAAATTTTGTGGGTGCTGCTAAAGAGTTGCAGATGCTTTTCAACCAACAGAGTTCGATGTACAAAGACATTGCAGCTGCTCTTGCAAACTCTCAAACAGAATGGCATTTTATCCCTCCTCACGCTCCTAATTTTGGTGGGTTGTGGGAAGCAGGGGTGAAAAGTGTAAAACACCACTTGAAGCGTGTGATAGGTGATTCCACTTTGACGTTCGAAGAACTGTCCACAGTACTTTCCCAAATCGAGGCATGCCTAAACTCTAGGCCCCTGTCTCAGGGTAGTAGTGATCCAGAGGATCCTGTACCTCTAACTCCGGGTCATTTCTTGGTGGGTCATCCATTGGTAATGGTTCCTGACTACAACTATGAAAGTGTCACAGTTAGCACTTTACGCAGATGGCAATTAGTACAGCGTATGGTGCAGCACTTTTGGCGTAGATGGAAACAGGAGTATTTAACAAACTTTTTTCAAAGGCATAAGTGGAATGTTCGTAAACCTGACTGTAAAATAGGTGATGTAGTTTTAATAAAAGAAGATATCTTACCTCCAGCTAAATGGTTGTATGGCAGAATTGTTGAGCTGCATCCGGGTAGAGATAACTTGACGCGAGTTGTCACTGTTCGTTGTAAGGGCTCTATGATTAAACGTCCAATTTCAAAATTGTGTTTTCTTCCTGTTACTGAATAAGGCACAAAATCTTGTAGATTTAATTGTTTAAGTTGCGTATGTTTTTAGATAAGGTTTTATTATGTTATTTTCTTATACTGCACTGTTGAAATAACAATGTCTCTTACTCTTGTGCACTGTCATGTATTGATTACAATGTTTAGTTAGTAGTTTAGTTATATTGTTTTTGTCAGAATTTTGTCAACCTGATATTTTTGCCGGTATCAAGAATTTCGTCACCCAGATTAATGTTTTTGTACTTATATCTATTCATTTTGATCGGAACCATATCTGTCCGCGCCAATGTCTGCTAAAAGAAGCCGTCCACTAGATCTATCTCGATGTATTATTCGTAATATAGTAATATAATTGTAATACAGTCCACTGTTCTCCTAGTTGTTAAGTTTATGCATGGTGGGCGGTACGAAAAGGAATATATTCCTTTTGGTGGGCGGAATGTTCAGTGTAGAAATAATTTGTTTAAAAGATGCACTCGGCCAACGCCATACTACTATTTATTGTGTTGTCCCATAGCTCGATAGATGGCGTTGGCCGATTTAAATTCAAGCTATGGTTTCGTTACCGGCAAAACATTAGGTTGTCTGCTTTGACGTAAATAAATTGTCTTGCTCTGAGGTACTTCGTATTATTTCAAGTAATCGGCTCCAAAGGACTTTCGGCCGATATTGTTCAGTTACATTATAGAAATTTTCGTTTCCTTTTTGTTCTTTTATTAAATATAGCCTATTGAACATAAGAATAATCTATAATAATTCAGGAACAATGTAAGACTCAAGTCGGTCTGGTAGTTTCAGAGCCTATACAATGCAAACAAACAAACAACAAATCAAATCTTTCCTCTTTATAATATTAGTGTAGAAGGGTAGACAATATTAATGCGATATCATGCGCACAGCAACTTAAATTTTTAAGTGACGCGCTCTCTAGTTGTCGTAGTTGACCGAAGACCTTAGGGGATCGAGGAAGAAGTACTTAACTTAATGAAATTGAAACAAAAATGTGGATGGTATGCTGACATTTATTATTGTAAATACAGCAAGTTCAGTCCGACTCGGACCACTGATCTGAGAATCATTGTGTTGTCGTGGTTATATCTGTAGCTGTGACGATAGCGTCGTCGCCGCGGCCGCGATATCTATACAAAAATAAATTAAACAGGCTCCACGGCGTAGGCTGTCGACTTTACCTATAAGATATAATATTGCTACACTTGAGTCGCACACCTCCGTATATTACATCGCGTTGCTTCTGAAACAAATGGACCAAAATATAATGGACATCGAATGAAACATATTATGTATGTGCACGTTAGCAGTGGTCAGTCAGTCAAATTAATTCAGTATAAGTGTGTTTGTATAAAAATCTTCTATCGCCGTGGGTAAGACGAGAGAGAATGACAGACTCTTTACTAACTAAACACCACCCCGTTCCTACTTCTGTTTGATCCGAAGCCCCGGTAACTCGCTAGGTCGTCCGCAGCTTCGAGTCAGACATTAGCCTTACTGACAATACGGCAGCCGAGTCCCCCTTGCTTCGCACCGTCGTCTGAACCAGATGGTATTCCCCATATGGTTAATCTAACCGACACGCTCAAATAACTGTTACGTATATAATAGTCTATTATTTCATGAGAAGAATTTTTGAGAAAACAACAACATTCAAAACCATGGCAAAACTAAATTAAAGTAGGTACGTTGAATGTCATCAGTCGTGATCGGCTTTGTTTGGTGAAACGTTTTAGTTGAAAAAAAAGCACAATAACGGCATGCAAAGTGAAAAAACCTTAGTCAATAAATAATGCAGTCTGGAGCTGACCAGTCCCAGTTGCCGGCGCCCGTTCACGAACATGACGTACCCCAGCACCGCCCAACTCAACCATATTGCAGGGAATCTAGCGACCCAATGCACGTGCCACCGCCAATGAGATCTTAGAGTGAGCATGACAACTCCAAGCTGACATAAATGTATTCTACTAGACCAATTTAATATTAAGTTAATTACAGGGCTCTCACATTTACAATGATTTTGCAAGTTAAACAAAATACATTTTAGCAACTAGGCTGTAATATTTACATGTTTGGATATCATTGAAACATCAGTGTTTTTCGTTATCCCGTAGAGCTGGACCAGCGTGCATCCAAGCTAGCATATTATATCCAAGTTTGTAATATGCTTGTCTACATAGAGTTTTTTATACATAATTTAAATTTCGTTTCATTTAGGTGTTGTATGTCGCCTGGTATCTTGTTTAACATTTAACACAGAATCCCATGAACGACTTACTTTCGCCAATCTCAAAATTGATTGACTTAATCTATCCTTATGTCTAGTTTGATAGTGGTGTCTGTCCGACACTTTACCAAATAACTGTAGGTTTTTCCTGTGTAAATAAGAAAATTACCCAAATTTAAAAAATAATTGAAATGTGAAAATGCTGAGAATATCTCCACTGCATCTAGCTATATTGCAACCGTTTACCGGTAAAACGAGCACCTACGAAATGGCGGGAGTCCTGAAGCATTGGAGCCAAGCGGGCGCGACACGTACCTGGGCATGGCGCACATCTCGCAGGCGTCCGCGTGCGCCGCGTTGTGGAAGGTGCAGAGCGGACACGTCCACACGGCCGGCGCCGCGCCGCCCGCCGCCGGCTCGTCCGCCGCCGCGCGCGCCAGCTGCAGCAGCGTGCCCGCCGCCGGCGCCGCGCGCCACGCCTCCGCCGCCGCCGCGTCGCGCGCCGCCACCGCCGCCAGCAGCGGCTGCAGCGCCGCCGGGCTCAGCGGCAGCGCCTCGTTGGTGGCCAGGTACAGCAGCGCGTGCAGGTCGGCCAGCGCCTCCAGCGTGCAGTCGGCGGCCTGCAGCTGCGCCTGCAGCGCGCGCAGCGTCTGCAGGTGGTGCTGCAGCGGCCGGTTGGCGGGCGGGAACGTGGCGCGCGGCCAGAACGTGGGCTCGGCGGCCGCCGCCACGCCGCACGGCACGTCCACCAGCAAGTACGCCACGGGCACTCGCTTGGCCGACACGCCCACCTCGTTGCCGTACGCGTCTCGCTCCTGACGTGCCACGAATACATTATATCATGACTTTCCTTTTACGAGATCCTCCATCCATGTAGGTGTAGAAATATAGATCGAATCAAACTAAACTTTTATGAACCTCTTTTTTCTAATGCAAAAGTGAATGAATTATAGATATTGTTAAATAATATTTTATTATGGACTTACAGCTCGATGCTGATAAATACTTCTTAACTTTCAGTAAATGTTGTTGATAGTTACTAGTGATGTACGAATGTAATTTTTTGAACATTCGTTACATCACTAGGAGTTACTCACTCAGTACAATTTCATTTATACGACAGCAAATCATCATCATTATATCAGCCACAGGACGTCCACTGCTGCACATCGGCCTCCCCCAATAACTTTCAGACAGACTGGTTGGAAGCGACCTGCTTCCAGCAGCTCGCCTGTCCGCCCCGCGGTCGGACGCCCCACGCAGCCAGTCCGTGGCCTCCGCTCGAGAACCTGCCCAGCGGCCGTCGGTTCTCCGCGCTATATGCCCCCTGCCACCTTAACTTGCTAATCCGCTAGGCTATGTCGGCGACTATTATTTGTTAGCGTATCTCCGAGAGAAACTCCGAACACAGCCCTTTGCATACCGTGCTGAGCGACATTGTGACAAAATTTTTCACTCTACCCATATAATAGTGTATTTAACATTGACTGTAGGCAGTTATTTTAATACAGGACAAAATAAATAAATTCTCTAGAACTTTTTAAAGAATTTCAGAACTTTAAAACAGGATTTTAAAGTTCAACTCTTGGCTGTTTTGATGTTGTCCGTATAAATGTTTTTGAACACCTTATCAAAGTTATGAACACGGCAGTGTCGCGCTAGGATACATACTAAACGAGGAGTGGGCGACTGACCTTGTAGTAGACGTCGGGCACGTACTGCTTGTCGGACGAGTCGCGGATGTAGCCGAGGTCGGGCGCGTCGCGCGTCGGCAGCAGGATGCCGTCCCGCACCAGCGCCTGGCACTGCCCCGACACCTGGTAGCCCTCCAGGTGCACCTGCAGGTTACTGTCGCCTGCCAGCATTCATTCTAATCAAATATTGCAAGCCCAATTTGATCCACATTCTAGAGCCTAGCTAGTCCTGACTATCTCGTCTCCGAATAGCCTGGCAGCTCCACCGTGTCCTCCGAGCGATCTTTGCAGTGGTGATACCCGGGCGTTTCCTCTCACCGAATTGGAAACAGGAACCTACCAAAACTTGGTCCGGTAAGCACCTGCGTCAGCCAGCCAGGCTTACAACTCGCGGGCGACGCGCCGTAAACGCGCTGGCGGTTGCCAAATTCGAAACAACGCCGTGCCGGAGCCGTGCTTATTAGATATGCGATGACCTTTAATGTATTATTTCTAAACGATTTTAATAAAGGAGAAAGTCGGTAGAAACCGAAAAATATAATTGAAATGAAATGAACTGTAAAAAGTCAAAAGTCAAAGCATTTATACCAATTAAACCATAATTTGGTACTTTTGAAACGTCAACAAATACAAAATAAATAATAGTCTGTCAGTCAGTCCGTCAGTGAAGCTAGTAGAAACTAGGTGCTCATTCCAAAATGTAGATTCAAATGGAAAAGAACGAGCAAGAAACTATATTCGTTATTCTCTTTAAAAAAGTACTTTCTACAATCTCTCTGATACATTATCCAATATTGTACGGATATGTGAGAGCAATGCAAAGACACGCTTATCGCATTATACAAATTACAAAACTTATTAAAATAAAAGACAAGAAAATCTTATCTAACATGCTCACACAATCCATAAAAATGATGCTTCTACACAAGAACAAGGAAACTGTTTCAATAAAGAAAGAAATGTCACAAGGAAACTAGATTATCTACATCAGAATCAAAGTATTAAGTTACCTGTATCTGAACTACTACATGCTGCCAAGCATTCTTATCTTCAAGAGGATCTGTCACTTTGTAGTAAGTTTGTTTGTATAATTCGTGCTTAATATATGTTTTAAATTTACTTTCATTAAGATCTAGTATGCTACTTGGTATTTTATTATAACATTTAATATATAACCAAACAAAAAACCAACCCAATGAAGGATTTCTGTACCTTGGACAGTTTGAATTGTGGTATATAATAAATATAAACAAAATGGTTTTATAGAAATAATGGTAATACACCTCATTGACATGACTGTGCCAAGTGACTACAACATAGGAGCAAAAGAAATAGTAAGTTGAGTAAGTGCCACCTCATAAAGACAGAGATTAGACACCTTTGGAATACTGAAATGCATCTTATTCCCAAAGTAATTGAAGCCACAGGAGTAGTGGCCAAAAGCCTCAGCAGATACACAGACGAACTAGAATCATCAATAGACATTACTTACAATTGTACAGACGCAAGCCGCCATTCACACAACAATCATTATTAGCGCAAAGTACTAGGGGAGACACAGTTTTAGTCACAAACATTCCAGATTCCGATCAGTTACACTCACCACGCACCACTCAATCAACCAACACACACACACACAGTGTCAGTACTCAAGTACTCAGCACTCAGCAGAAGATTGAGAATTCAGATTTAGAAGGGGGCTGTGAGCATCGTTTGTCGACCATCATGTGATTATTATTGATTAAATAAAAAATATTCTAAAAATAAATTTAAATAGATGGTTCAAAGTAGCTTAGTACATGCACCCAAATGTTTATGAGAGATATAAAGGGGGCAGAAGTTTCGTTGTAGCTGGTATTATTCTTCAAAGCGTAAACAGTAAAACACGAGCCGCACGCACACTTGCAAGAAATTTTGTGACGCCCTATTTGTTGTCATTACTCTCCATCTAGACACGAATTAAAAAAAAAACAATGCCCCACACTAGGATTTTCTCCTGTGTCGTGGGTGCGTTTACAAACATACACGTTCACATACACAACAACAATTTGTGGATCACACCAAGTGTTGTTCCGTACGGGAATTGAACCCGCGACACGTGGCACGGCAGCCAGTTGCCCAGCCACCGCGCCAACCGTGCAGTGCAATTTATTATCTCAAAGTTTATTACCACGCGTATGTGTACACTGTTAGCACTGGCAAGTGGCAATACACACGGTTACCCGCAGACAACTCCTTTTTGTGTTTGGACCATTCGTAGTTTAGCACGCTTAAGCTGTTGACTACTTAGCAGTACAAGTCTTCAATGTGACCTCTAAGTTAAGGCTTAGCCCTAGCTAGAGCGTCCAACGTAGGCCGTGCGCTGCGCGTGGCAATGTCATGTACTGCCATAGAGCAGCGCGCGGCCGTATGCTTGACTCCCAGAACTCACCTGTGACGCACACTGTTACGAACTTGGAGCCGAAGTAGCCGGAGGAGGCGTGGCGGCACGCGTTGGGGTGCAAGTTCTGGTAGTGGCCCGCCATGATGCACTCCTGCGCCGACAGGAAGTGAGTGTCCACGCCCCTGTCGTCACACAACTACTTTACTCCACACTTTACACTGGTATACTATGATCATTCGTAAAACTATACTAACATATAATATATTATAATGAACAAATATTTGCAAACCCGGTCAAGTCAGGTCGGCCGGTGCTTTTCGTCAAAACCGATGTTCACGTCGGTTTTCTGTGAGACCGTGGCATTACTCCAGTCGAGCCGGCCCATTCGTGCCGAAGCATGGCTCTGCCACACTTAGATTTTCGCACATTTGTAGCGCTATCGAACCGACTGTAATTCGGCTCGAAGAGAGGAAATGGTCATTTGGTTATAAATTGATCAGTTCTATCCTTCAACTGACCACACAAATGTGAAAATATTGTCCGTCTGGTTCACTTGCAATCCATTACTTTATAACTAAGTAGCTGTTCCTCGCGACTTTGTCCGCGTATAATATGACTTCTGGCAGAATTAGGATTATCTAATAACAGCGTAAGCAATATAAGGATCTTTTTGGTAGATTTTTTACACATCGAGTTACATCATCGAAATTTTCACATGGATCGTTTTTTTCTCTTTTCAAATGTAGCCTATGTCCATCACGAATAATGTAGAATACCAAAGGCAAAAGATTTATTCAAGTCGGTCCAGTAGTTTCTATCTCAAACTAACGCGTATTTTTTATATATGGTAATGGTAACAATTTTTCTCTCACAGCTTTCGTTTTTGAGTTACAGCTAATTACCCTCAATTACTATTTTTATTTATATGTAGTTGCGTTTTTATTGGACATTGAAAGATATTCTGTTGTTGTTTTCGATATAGCTTCGTCAACAAGGTGTTGTGTACCTCAGGATAAATATTATTCTATTATAAACTACGTTTAAAAAAATCGACTTCACCCCCAATTCTTTTTAAAGTCGTTAAATTAATATACTACATCCTTCTCCTAAATGTAACAAATACTTATCTGAAAACCGTATCAAAATCGGTTCAGCCAATAGCGAGATAATCGCGTAGTACAGGTCCAACTGGGAACCTCCTTTTTTTAAAGTTGGTGAAAGAGGGAAAATTTTATATTTTTAATGAAAAAACATTTTGTGTTTAGGACATAATCACATACATTATTACACCAAACAAAATTTCTCAAAACTAAAAACGTGGAAGATAAAAGTAGACAGCATCTCCAACTTGACCATTGATTTAAATTTGAAACGTTTTATGTGGTGACTCACCGGATGTGCTTGACGGTGCCGGTGGCCACGTCGAGCGGCAGCAGGTCTGTGAAGATCCAGCCCACGGGGCGCAGGCCCAGCCGCGCCGCCAGCTCCTGCAGCAGCGGCGCGCGCGGGTCGCTCGACAGACTGACGCAGTCGCGCGCCGACGACTGCGGCGGCTCGTAGATGGCGGCGACGCGCGCGCGGATGCCGAGCGGCACGTCGGGGTGGCGTTCGTAGCGGCCGTAGAGGAAGCCGACGCGCTGGTGGCCCGTGGCGCGCCAGTACGCCAGGAAGCGCTCCACGATGGCGGGGTGCTCGAACAGCACGTTGTCCACGTGCCGGTACGGCTGCCGGTTCAGCGTCACGGCGCCCGGCTGGCACTTGGAGCAGATGCCGCGGGGCCACGGTGGATGCTCCGAACAGCCTGTAGCCCGACTGTTATTTTACTACGTCTAGTATTTTTTTTTAAACATCGTTCACAAATACCATCACGCGAACCTTCAGAACTAAATAACCAATACAGTCTCGTGTGTGCACGGTGCTGCATTCGAACAATAAAGTAAATCAAATCAACCTTTTTTGCGAGGTCGTTACGCCATCATTAGTATCATTCGGGAAATAATTTTCAAACCAGTCGTGGTGAAGACCTGAGCAAATTGTGGTAATAATTTCACTGATGGTGTGCAGTGTACAGGCTACAAGAAACACTTTTCATGCACTGATTTTTCTTGTGCGAGTGTGTCTGAGATGACATGGAGAACAATGGCGTCGGACCGAAGAGCACTGTGGAAATGCCTTGTTTGTACATCGTCGCCTGTGCCTCTTTCACCACAGCCTTCTGCCTTGTTGGATACAGTACTGAGTGGAATTAACGTAATGAGGCAACACTGGTCAAGCATGCCGACCTTAGTCAGCAGTATACAGGCTATCGAAGATGAATTAGTTGAACTTAAGAAGAGTTGTGAGTTCTCCAGCGGTAGAGTTGATGATGTTGATGCCAGGCTGGAGGAGTTGGAGTTGAGAGTATCTAAGTTTGTTTATAATAAAACTTTCGTGAGACATACTAAATTAATTATTGTTTTCGGCTTACTCACGTAACTGTTTAATGAGGAGCTCGACTAGTTTCATGAGCAGCATTTTTGGAACTAGTAGAGTTATAGTGTTAATGAAATTATTCTCTGGACCTCTAACTACCTGTAGCTTGGACCATGCTCCCGCTACTGGTCAGCTCCTATTTTTTATATTTTAAATATTTATTTTTGGAAGTAGTATATTTTTTTCTTTATTTGAAATCCTCGATCCTCCAGGATTTTAATCGTCTCACAATCTTGTAGCCAGGATTATTCATCAGCCACTTGCTTTGTAATAAAAACTTGTTGAATTTGAATCTGAAGTGCCGTAGTATCTGCCTGACCCAGTTCTTCAAAATAAAGATGTCACACTGTATTGGGACCGAACTATCATCTTCATCACAGACAGGACAATTGTTGCTAATACACCTGACAGTGACGACAGATCGACGACGCCGACGCACAATGTCACGACGCCGTACCTTGCCCTAGTACTTAAACATTGGTTAAATATTTCCTCCTCACCTGGTTTAATTTTGCAGGACAGTTCATCTAGTGAGATGAAGTTGCCTGACGTAATTTTGCGCAAATAAGCATGAAATGACATATGCTTTATGTTGTGTTCTTTTAGATATCCCTCGTCCCAGGGCTCCAGCGGGGAGCAGTGCACGCAGCAACCTTTCGAATTGTGTCTGCATCTAAAAAGTGAAATGTCATAATGAATCCTCCCAGTGTTAAATGCCTGCTCGTGCTCGGTCTGATTGTAACCTCTCCTCCCACAACCAGATTCAAATGAAAACATTATTTAGTTGAACCACAAGAATTTAACTACGTCTTTAACACATAATAACTAGGTGTGCCCGCGACATCGTCCGTGTAGAATAGTGACTTTGGATAGTTTATCTGTTAGTAATATTCATGTAAGCGTGATACATGCCTACGTCACTATCCAGTTGCCACTTTATTGCAACAAAACAAAAATTACGAAAACATTTTCAGTCAATATTCTGCTTTATTAATTATCTATAGCAAAATATTGGCGTTATCTGTATGAAATCAAATGAAACGATTATATTTTTAAACACTAGCTGTTCCTCGCGACTTCGTTCGCATATAATAACGACTTTTGGCAGAATTTTGGCAAAATACTGTGTAACAAATATCATCAGAATCGATTCAGTGCCTAAGTTATATTCATTATGGAATAAATTCATTTTCGTGATTTAAAAAAAGAATCAATCCTACAGGTCTTTTCTTCCCGTATAGTGTCAATTCCCGTAAGGTTTTAGTGATAGAAACTATTCTAAATGTCCTATCCAGGGTTGCAAACCATTGTTGTGCCGGCCAATCAGAGCGCCGGACGCGGTTTCGTTTCGATTACTTTAAACGCAAAAGAAACTCTTACTAAGCCATCGGTACCTCATTAAGAATAAGAATAAGAATTTTATTTGCTCAAACATGTGTGTGCATACAGAATTAAAATAATACAGCATGCAAGATCTTAGAGAAAAGTGGCTTACGACATGTCTGCCATTTATCATGGCGTGCAAATATCTATTATATAAAAAAAATTTTAATGACTGTGAATTATTACATTAATTTTAAAATTTACACTTATACCTACATTAAATATCTGCAGTATCATTATACATTATTAATTAATTTGTTCATATTCAATTAATATTTACTAAAAATGATTTAATTATTATTTTACAAATTATATATTTTACTTATTATTTAATAACATTCAATTGTAATAATATTAACAATATGTTTCTTTGTGTCCTACACTGTGACACAACCTTAATTAGGGCAATGTTAGTTTTTATTGTTATTTATTTATAACAATCACTGACTCACTTAAAAATTCCGTTATACTGTAATAAGCTTTCTGTGCCAAAAACAATTTCATTGTTTGTTTTAGTTTAGGTATAGTTAGTTCTTTCCAACTTTTGGGTAATTTATTATAGATAATTGGTGCCATGCAAAATACACTCTTGCGCATAAGTGCAGTTTTTGATGTATGTAAACATAGTTGGCTATCGTCACGTCTATTCCTTGGAAATCTGTCTGCCATACGAGGAAACAAATGTGGATTTGTCTTCACGAACATTGTTATTTCTAATACATAAAGTGAAGGCAATGTTAATACACGATATTTAATAAAGTAATTTTTACAGCTGTCAGTAGATTTGAGATTAAACATAGATCGCAAGCAGTATTTTTGTCTCTTAAAAATGACATCCCTATCGGTTGAGTTACCCCAAAAGATTACACCGTATCTAATGACCGATTCAACCAAACCATAGTAGGCCGTCAATAACGCTTCTATATTTACAGTACGCGATAATTTATATAACGCGTATGCCGCACTGCTTATTCGTTTGGCTAGAGATTCAACATGCGCTTTCCAATTTAAATTTTTGTCGATTGTCAGTCCTAAAAATTTTGTGGTTTCAGCAATTTGTATTCTATTATTATTATATTCGATGTCAAGATTAGAAAATAAGGATAATCGATGACTAAAATGCATAATCATAGTTTTATTTATATTAATTTTTAAATTATTATTATCATCAAGCCACTTTACCGCTTCAATTAAAGTACTTTTTATGTCCATTTCATAATTAGTTTTTTCATGGCATGGTATAGTAATCGTACTGTCATCGGCAAACAGAGTCATCGGATGTTTAATGGCTTTAGGGAAATCATTTATATACAGAGTAAATAGGAGCGGTCCAAGTACACTACCTTGCGGAACTCCATGAGGAGCTGTACGCGCACATGATGTGAAAATTTCTTCACGTTGAGTGTTCACATTTATTCTACTAATTTGGTTACTTGTTTTCTATTATGTAGTATGATGTTATTAGATTTAAAACATTTCCCTGATACCATATGCCTCAAGTTTATTTAGTAGTATATTATGCTGTACGTAGTCGAAAGCCTGTGTCATGTCGCAGAAAATGGCGCAGACTGGTGTGTTTTTATCCATGTTTGTCATAACATTATACAAGAAATCATATATGGCCAAATTGATTTTTTTTTTCTCCCTAAATCCTTTCTGTTCGTCACAGAGTATATTATTTTTTTCAAAATAGTTATTAAGTTCCCTATAAATGTATTTTTCAAAAATTTTCGACATTACTGATATAAGTGATACAGGCCTGTAAAATTCCACTTGCTCCCTGTCTTGTTTCTTAAACAGTGGTTTTATAATTGATTTTTTTAGCTCAGTCGGAAATATACCTTCACTTATGCTTAAATTAATTATGTAACTTAAGGGACTACTGATTTCATATGCCACTGACTTTACAATTTTTGTACATATGCCATCGTCTCCTACAGAGTTTGTATTTTTTAAGGCCGCTATAATTTTTAATACATCAATTGCCAGGCTAGGCGCCATAAACATTGAGTCTTTTTTTGCCAAAATATGTTTAGTGACTATGGTTCCCGAACTAGTTATAGGTTTTATTTTATCTATAAAATAGTTATTAAATATATCTGCTATAATCCTGGGGTCAGTAACAGTTTCATTATTATATAGAATTTTGTCTATAGTATTTTTTGGTAAATTTAATTTTCTTTGATTTATTATTTCCCAAGTAGTCTTAGACCTATTGTTTGATTTTTGAATTTTATGCGTATTCTGTGCTCGTTGAGTTAAATAAACAATTTTTTTAAGTATTTTTGAATAATTTTTAAATTTATTTCTATTTATATCGGTAGGTTTTTGTCTATATTTCCATAACAATTGACGCTTCCTTTTGCTACATATCTTAATACCACGGGAGACCCAACTAGACCTTCTTTTCATGTTTACAGAGACAAGATTCATTCCACTCAATTAAGTTCAATGGTTTAAGAGATAGAGAATTCCGGGATTTTAAGGCATAATCCCCATTTTCGTGAGACTACCGGGATCAAAAATAAAACTACGTCCTTCCGGTTTTGAAATTATCGTAGTACCGAATTTCACTGAAATAGATTCAGTGGTTTAAGATATGGGATTTGACACATAGTTCCCGTTATTCTGGGATTTCCAGGTTATTAGTGATTTCCGGGTGTGTGAGTACCTACATTACTATTGCACATTTGTAGATGAAAAAAATATTTTTATGGCATTACTGTAATAGTTACATATGATATCGTGCATTTCTACGTTGATATTAATGTCCTCTATAAGACTCTAGTACACTCCTTGGCTCTGTTGTGCATAACCTCCACAGTGTAAGCAATACCAATAATAAAAGGAGTTCTATTGGTAGTTTTTCACACATCAGGTTAACGTTACGTAAAGGAAACCAGCAAACGTTCCAAGTCGGTACGCCAGTTTTGGAGCTTATTCAAACAAACGAAAAATCAAATCTTTCCTCTTTATATTATTTAACCTAACGGGTTACTTTACTTCGAAGCGCAGGAGAAGGAACGGGGTGGTTTTAGTCAGTAAGAGTCTGACAGAGTGTCAGACTCTTACTCCTGCACTTCCAGCCGGAGGCCCGGCAACCCGTTAAGTCTCCCGCGGCTCCGTATCGGCATCAGCCCTGTTGGGCCCCATTTGTGGTCTTCTGATGGCTCCTTGAGGCGCGACGTGAGTCCCGACGCCCGGAATGTCTCTCATGACAGTTGGGACGTGAGGAGGTTCGTTCCCTCACGCGCTCAGCCTCCTCCTTAGTTAACATGACTGCTTCGCAGAAGGAGGAGACGGCATCCCAGTCCCCTTCGCTCCGTACCATGATCTGAACCAAGGCGGGAGGCGAGAGGGCACCGTCGCCGACCACATCCCTGAGTACACGGCGGTGCTCACCACACGCAGGACACACCGCCACCGTATGTTCCACCATGTCTTCCGGGCGGTCCTCGCAGTGATGACACCCGGGCGTTTCCTTCCGTCCAATCCGAAACAGGAACCTACCGATACTTCCGTGTTCGGTAAGCACCTGCGTCAGGCGGTAGATGAGGACGCCGTACCGTCTCTCAAGCCGCTTCTCAAAGAGGGGACTTACCACTGCAATGACAGCGAGCCCAGCCCTCGGTTGCGACAGTCGTTGCTGCCATTGCTGCAGCGGAGTTTCACCCCGGCGACGTGCCGCCGCCGCATACAAAACACACACACAGGGGCACCGTAGAGGGCAATGGACCGCACGACCCCCGCATCGTCCGCACCCCACAACGTCCGGATGGAGGTGATACTAGGATCAATAAAATTCGTGAAGACAAGAGTAGGCCGAGCTTAATAGGTTGCTGAGATACATACATAAAACTCATACGTTTTTCCCACGTGGGTACTCGGGGAGGCATAAATTATGGAGGGCCACTATGTCCAGTTTATTTGTAGAACTAGATTCTCCCGTGCAGTTTCACCCGCTCTGCTCGGCTCCGATTAGCCGTAGCATATAGCCTATAGCCTTCCTTGATAAATGGACTACCCAATACAAAAAAAATAATTCATTTCGAACGAGTAGTTCTGGAGAATAGTGCATTAGAGGAAACAAACTCTTCAGCTTTACTTAATAAAGTGTATAGTAAACATATGTATGTGTGTAGTAAACATATGTATGATACACTCTTACTGATGTCAAACAGATGATACAAAGGTTTGTTTGTATTATAACCCTTTTATTGGGATGGCTACAGACAATTGCGATAGGTACAAAAGAAAGCTTCATTTCAGAACACAAGTAAATAACACTTTGAAGACTTCTTAACATTAATACAAGCTACAGCTGCAGCTGGCTACTATATTGTTAGTAAATAATAATTTAGTAGGTTACTCACAGTTTCTCATCCCTCTGTCTCTGAATACTACCAGACATGCGAGATAGTTGCAGGTCCACCTCATCCTCTTCCACTGCAATTGGGCGAGCAGCTATGCTTGTAGCAACTGGAGGTATCTCTGAGCCAGATGTTGAAGGACCTGCCTCTACCGGTTCTCCAAATGGCTTGTTGTTTTCATGTACCTGAATTCAGTATGTATTTTATCAGTACTAATTTTTTTTATCTAAAAGAACGTTGTCAGTTCCTGGGTGACACATCCGAAGTTCCTGAGATCATCTCGAAGAATCCTAAGTTCAGCATTCGTAAGCACTCCACTTACTTCTATAACAAGTCATTTGCAATACAACCGGCTCGGCTGTAGAATGCATTACGACTGTAAAGTGCGACGTGCTCAAACTCTGGGTCAGTTTAAAAGACAAATGAGGGAACACTACCTGTCATTGTAGATACGTAATCGATGATAGCAAAAATCAGGGCCTGCCCCAGCCGTGCCTTAGTAGCAATATAATTTTAGTAGCTTATGCTATATAATTTTTTTAAATAAATCCAATTTACTATTGACCAAATTAGTGACTCAAAACAAAAAGTGATACTCATTTACTTGATATTTTAAAATGAATGACATTTCTGAAAGTATTAGTAGTAATAAATGTTTATTGATGTATTGAGAATAAATTAAAATCACTTATATCAAGCCAGTACTTTTTATTTATGTACTAATGTTTTTGTAGTTAGATCGGTATTTTTTCACCAAAACCTAAAATGTTGAATATTTCAGAAACTAGCCACTTTCAGACTAGTGACCTCAGAGCTAATTTTGTAAAAAATTGGTTGTACCTATTATCACCTCCCGAGAGGAATACGTCGAGTTACAAGTGACCCTGTATACATATACACACAACACACACAGCACCTTAAATGTAGTCATCGTGCATATTACATATTATATATATATATATCTTTACTTATAATAAATCTGTAGAGCGGTCAATAATAATCAGTGATTAGGGATCTGTACTGATGCCTAAAATGGAATCAGTAAAATTACTGTCTGTATGAATAACCGTTATAGAACACATAACAATTATTTTTCATACTCCTGAGCTGGTTCTTAGTATATTACTATGTCATGCTATAAACTCAAACTCAAAACCATTTATTTTAATTGAACCATAATTTGGTACTTTTGAAACATCAACAAATATAAAATTAATAATCTGTCTGTCAGTCGGGCCGTCAGTGAAGCTAGGAGATTGTTCCAAAAAGTAGATTCGAGTGCAGAAGGGCAATAAACTGCGTTCGTTACTCTTTTAAGAAATAGTATGTTCACAATCTCTCTGATACACATTCAAATATTGCACATATATATATGAGAGAACAATGAGACATACTTGACGCATAATACAAATTACAGAACTTACTAAAATAAAATAAATAAAGAAATATTTTATAGTCTAACATGGTGCTTATATATGCAGACAGTCCATATAGAATAGTGCTTCTGTACAAGAAAAAATATAAACTCATTGTTTCAATAAAGAAAGAAATGCTTGATGCCATAAGAAAACTATATTGCCTTTATCAGAATCAAAGTATTAAGTTACCTACTATTGGAATGTAACTACTGACTACATTTGAATATTGTCCAGTGGAGCCGAACCATCATGCTGCCAAACATTCTTATCTTTAAGATGATCTGTCACTTTGTAGTAAGCTTGTTTGTATAATAAACTTTCATTAAGATCTAGTATGCTACTTGGTATTTTATTATAACATTTAATACATAACCCCATGAAGAATTGAATTTCTGTACCTGAAGGATTTCTGGACCTTGCACAGTCTGAATTGCGGTATAGCTAACTTATTTTTACCGATTTAAAAAAAAGGAGGAGGTACTAGTTCGGCTGATTGTTTTTTTTTTTGTTTGTTTGCGCATTTCTCCGCCATTTGTGAACCGATTTCCAAAATTCTTGTTTTGTTTAAAAGGGTATACTCCCGAGATGGTGCCATTTCCCTGAGGTCAGGATTTGATGATGGGATCCTAGGGTAACCGAGAGGAACTTTCGAAAATTCTAGGGGGCGAAAAGTGCATTTGTTATTTTTTCATTAAGTATTAAAAACCACTACAATCTGATAAAGGTCTGGAGTCGATCTGATGATGGAGCCGAAAGCTAGTCGAGGGAACTCCTCAACGGTTAACAGTAGCCCCCCAGTGTTTGAGCTTGAATAATTTATATTGGTGAAAACTTTGCATTCATGTGGGTTGTGTGTAATATAATATATCAAACAAAGTACTAAAATAAAAAGTACCTATAAATTAAAATTGATCTATGTAGCTTTACACTGAAAATGATAAAATAATTAAATAAAACTGCGTTTAAAAAACCGACTTAAAAAAACCAAAAACTAATAACAAACAAAAAGTCAAAACTAAAACGAAAAAGTAACTATTAATAGTACTACTTATAGGTTAGAAGTCGGTGCCATAAGCTCATATCATGATGATATAACGTAATGGCCACAAAATTATACATTAGGTATCTATTAAGGTTTTAATGAATAATTAAGTATCCTACGATAGCATGAGTATCTTTTATGGTTGACTCATAATAACACAATGTAACTTACAGGTCAAAGCTTTCTGATTATATTTGTCTACTCTCACGTTTATAACACTCTCAATCATCCCTAATTAATTAACTATTCCATAAAAAACTGTACCCAAACGCAAATATAAGTATGCTGTAACTGTAGGACCGATGACTATCAAAATGAGCTTTACCGCTACTATAAATGCGAAAATTTGTGAATTTGTGTTACTCAGTCACATCAACATGGCTGAAAGGCCCGTGATGAAATTTGGAAAACTGGTACATTATGGTCTGGAGTAATACATAGGCTACTTTTTACTCCTGGGAAAACAGGCAAAGCAACTGGCAGAACGTAGTTACATAAAAATTAATTGATTAGTTGCATAGTATTATACCGAGTATCTGTTAAAGTGAGGTATTCCTCGTAGCGTCCCGTTTAAAAGTGCACTCATCTAAGCGCTCCCGTTTTGAAGCGCACCCATCTAAGCGCTCCCATGATTAACTTTTGGATAGAGATGGGACTATACTACCTGAAATTATCGATAAGAACTAGGTAATAAGTAGAACACATTGTTATACAACTAGCGGCCCGTCCCGGCTTCGCATGGCTTTGGTAATTATTATTTTTTTTGTTTTATTGTAAATCCTTTAGTACACCATACAGATAATTTGCTTCCGTAACACATTCACACTACCTGTGATATCAACAAAACGCAATTTTAAATATATAAATATTTAAAATTTAAAATTGTGTATATACAAATATAAAAAAAAAAATATATTTCGCACATCAATCTCGCACAAAAATCAATCTGTAAGTGAACACCTCTCACTTACAGATTGATTTTTTTATTGATTGATAAAGGATTGCTTATGAAGTATGAAAAAAAGACCCAGGTTTGGCACAAAAGAAACTTACCTTACATTTTACTTTCACAAATAAAAAAAAGTGAAAATAAATAAATTTTTAGTATGACCTTTAGTATGATTGAAAGCATATAGGGGGCATTATCTAAATCGAGGGCTAAGTAATTGCTATGTGTTAGTGGCAGGGTGATGTTCAAGTAAATTTACAAAACACTAGGCTAGTACCTGACCACTCGTAGAAGGTTGATCAAATAACACTGCACCGTTGACAGGGCTGAGATATAACATGTCACCGTGCTGTAGGCCATAATCGCGGAGACGGCGAGACTTGCTAGACGTGATCTCTTCTTTGCGTTGTCTGTCCTTGTGTAATACAAATGCGAATGTGTTCAGGTGGAGGCTCTCGTACACACGTTCAAATAACTGTGCCGTCACATCCGTGTCGGACATCTCAACGCGTGTGGTACCTTCTGCTGACTGCACCCGTAGTATCTATAGATTTAAACAATCAATTGCACATTTTGCTACGAAGAATGCCAACACTACCATCGCTATAAAAAAACGCAAAGTCATTATAACTTAACCTTTCAGCAATCTAATCTAGGTTTGATTTAGAACTACTTAAATGTAACTATTTAAGACTAAAATCCAAAACAGACTTTTGTAGAAACATTTGAATTCCATTAGATTGACAAGTAGATAAACAGAAACTTTAATTTTTTGCCTCGAATTATCAGCTCTTGTGTTGAGTTGCTTACTATTAGCATTCACAGAACTTGTTGTATGTATGAAATATAAATTAATAAGATTTATGTACCATTTTCTTGGATCCTGACATAATATTATCTTGATTTGATATGATGAGTAAGTAAAATAGTCGCAAAACACCAACAATTCACTGACATGACACCATGACATAACAAAGTTTTGTCTCTTTGGTGAGCAGATGAGTACGGTTGAAACGTCATAATGACATTTTATGTGTGACCAGAAATATCATAAAGGCAGGAATACATTACTGAGCGGAGGTGTGGCGTGTATGGTACATTGGCCACCAATCATACCACCAATAACTCGTAAGGCTTAGACTAATTAAGTTTAACCAACATTAAGTCAATTGGTAGCTTAGACTGTCTAAGCTCAGACTGACTTAATTTTGGTGAAAACAATGACGAAAGAATTAAATGGACCTACAATGCCTACGAAAGAAACATTCGACAGTTTCTTGTTATGGTGGATATAACTAGGGATTTATGAAATAGTAAAAAATATCGATATTTTCATTATCTTCTCTATTTAGTCATTGACTATAATGGTTACTCTATTCTATTAAAGTAACCATTAAACTGTCAAACACCAAGCGGTCACCGGTGACCGCGACCTATTGTTCTTTAATTGTGTCTATAAAACCGGTACTCGACGAGTTAAATTGTTAACCATTATTACTTGATACTTTATATTAAAATAACTACATAATATTAAAATTAAAATAACTACCTCTAAATCGTAAACAAAGACTCTACTCTCCGTCTACGGTCTAAAATTATTTCATACCTTGAAAAATCATGGAGATATTCATGTAACATTGTGTTTTTTTTCTTGTAGGGGCATCATTGATCTATATGTATTTATAGATAGGAAATCATTGTCTATGGGTTTAATTTATGGTGCATTTTGATCAACGGCCTTGCTCGACGGTAAATTAATAAACCACAGACTTATAAGAAGAAGTAGACCAAACATTAGCTAACATATGTTATGAGTCCCAATCCCATGTAATAGGGTGTGAGTGTGATTTTAAAAAACCCAATAATACTTTCCCAACCTGGGAATCGAACCCGAGACCCCTTGCCCAGCAACGAGGCTGTCATTAAATACATTATATTTTAATACTACCAAAAAATATAGGTATACTTTTTCTATTTACTTTCTACGTAAAATTGATTTCATGAGACGATTTCAGAACGAATGAATACGGTCTGAGGCGCCATATTGAATAAAATGTGGCAGTAATTGAAAAATTATTACATTTTTATACCCAACGTCTAAGACCTAAATTCTCCAGATATTTTTTTCCTTGGTTCGTGGTATTTTTTCTTCTTTCTCGGTAACTATACATGGCCGAAAAAGAAACATTATTAATTGATTTCAATAATCAACACAACTTTCATTGACGATGCAAAGTTTCTAACAATCGCCTCTAGTGTCAAAATTGTGAAGCTGTCTAAGAACGATACTGACAGTTTTGGTATATCATTTACGTCACAGAAAAAAAATATAAATCAGGTAAATGTATATAAATATTTAAGTAAATTGCAAAATTAATCTGTAGGGACACATATCAATAAGTTTCTACACAGTCGTAAATATACGGAGTTGACATCAAGACGTGTATCATTTCTATCCATAAAAAACTAGTACTACGCATCTACACTAATTATTCAATTATTATCCTTCATTTACTTCATTACACTCGTTTCTTGTTTGTTGGAGCATTTAAGGCCAATTCAATAACACAAGTCAATGTTTTTAAAAGTTCAATTGAATGAATACCCGTAAAAGTAAATAAATACATATCACTGCTGAGTCACTCTGAGAGGATTAATTGCTTTACAGCTGATCTATCTTTTTTTACATACAGGAAAAATTTGATTCATAGTTTTGTCTTTTGGAAATAAATGAAAACTTATTCCCGAATCTCCGCAAGCATTACATTGAGCAACGCAACAATATTTTGTGTTTCTGCTTTTATTAAAAACAAGTTTCTGTATGTAATCGTGATTATTAATTTCAAATCGAAAGCAAAGTGTCGTTCTTAGACAACTTCTAAATTTCGACGTTAAACGCGTGCATCTTTGCATCGCCAATCTCATACATTTCCGGTAATACAATCATACATAAATATTACAGTAAAAATGGATATTTATTCAGTATTTATAAATATTGGCCATTTATCCCAAAAGCACGCTTATCTCTATGTAGGTACCTAATAATATCCTTCATTTCTAATGCCGACCATAGTTTAAGCTATACATTGCTCGTGTGTGTTTTTGGCTTCACGAATGGGTAATGTTGGGCCTGTTTATTTAGGTAGGTAGTAGTAAGTCTGTGAGTAATGAAAATAATGAATTGTCAGAAATGTCAGTGTCAACATTAATTACAATTTTTTTTAATCTATATTGTTTACGAAGTGGTTTGGTATTGGTTTATTTATTTTTGGCTAAGATTAATTTACGTACTCGTTATGTCATCGTGACATGACATGATTGGACATGATAATGTGAACATATAATAATGACTGATGTTTCATTTTTAAATTAAAATGTTATAAAAGGTTGAAGTAAGTAATTTCATCAGTCCACTTCGTTGCCATTGGTGGTTGAATTTTTGTCTTCATATTGAAATTAAGTAGTCAGTAGGAACCATAAATATATTTTCTGCATCCAAAAATTTGAACAGGTAGGTACACAATTTAAATGCGTACCCTATAAGTAATATGAGGAGCAGGTGAGGGTCTGGTTACGTCGATAATATTAATAGGTATTCACAAATCACCTTGTGAAGTAAGTAATACCTACATAAGAAAATCAAGTAGGTATTTATTTAAATTAAAAGTCGTTTACTGTTTACGCTATATCTGCGGCTGCGGGAATGTGTACCTACCTGTAGACGATTTATGTTGGAATGTCGTGTTAGATGATTGTGTTGGCGGTGTGTTATTTATAAATGATATTTCTGGTGTAGGTTAGTCGTAGTTGATCGTAGCATAAGTTCCTGTAAGTCGTGAGCGGTCGAACGCACGATTCGTTTTCTTGCCAGAGAAAGTAGTCATTGCATTTCTTTGCAGTGCAAGTTGTGCAGCAATCTTTAGATGACAATCATTTAATTTGTGTGACAAATATTACATATGTATGTATAATGTTCATTATATATGGTTTAGTTTAGGTTCTTATTATTGTTCTGCTTATATATAATAAATGTTTTTAGAATACTCCCATATTAAATTTGTCTATCTGAAGTTAAATAACTTCAATTTTCTTTTTACTTTTAAGCTAGTAGGATAAGACTAGCATGCTATACAAGGTATCCATTATTTTTTCTTTAATTTTGTTGAATTTAATTCATATTTTGGCAGCAATGTGATTGAAATGGATAAAATATTTAATATGTGCAGCATAAATTGACAATGTAATAAGAAGTAGTGAACAAAGTTGTGGGGTTGACTGCATGGGTGGAGCGACAGCTGGGCAACTGAATGCTGCACAATGTGTAGTGGGGTTGATTCCCAATGTTTGTTTGTTAACACACCCATAATGCAGGAAAAATGTTCCAGTGGCAATTTTGTTTTATAAAGTTACAAAAAGTTTACTTATAGATTATTGAGAGAATGGTAACTGGGTGGTTATTTCATGCTTTAGAAGAGCCGCACAACAACACCATGGCTGAGCAGGGCACTACAGTGGAGCTGTACATATATGATCTAACTAATGGACTTGCCTCAATACTCTCACCCTCTATACTGGGTAAGTAATAATACATTCATTTAAATCATTATTGTATACCTATATAAAATTAATTAGTCTCATTTGTCAGGTAAATTTGCAACCATGTTTGCCAGGCTTGATTCCCAGTTTGCTCAAAGTATTCAGATTTCTAACTTCTGTAGAATACCCTATAGTCTTTTTAAACTCTGGGTTTGATAATCTCCAGTGTCTAGCAGTCAATAAATCAATTTGATCGCTTACCATCAGGTCTGATCAAGCAAACGCTTGTTTACCTCCTAAAAACTCTCATTCCATATAAAACTAAGCTCACTGAAAATTACGGAACTAAGGATGAGAATGCTACTATTTTAAAACATATTGTTATAATTGTGACTTTGGCTTTATGGATTCTTTGGTCAGAAATAAATATTATATTATTGTACTAGCTGTTACCCGTGACTTCGTCCGCATAGAATAATGTCTTCTGGCAGAATGCATTGGAATCGATTTGGTGCCTAAGTGTGATTTATTGTTAACTGAATTGATATGAAATATCACGTCACTTCATTAGCTCTTTATTTATTAATTTTACCTCGTGTGTTCATAGGTTTTGAGACAAATTAAAAGTTGCATATCTTTTTAAATAATAAACTTATATTTATAAAAACAATAACAAACATTAAGTAGATAGTAAGTAAAAATTAAATATAATTATTATTCAAAATGACCACCCCTGTTTTTAATACATGCCCTTAGACGATTTGGCCAGTCATCAATGGCGGCACGAATCTTTTCCAGAGGAATTCGCTTCGCTTCTCGGACAAGAGCTCGCTTAAGTGACTCCAAGTTTGGGTGGGACTTTCGGCAGGCTCTGAGCTCTAATTCGGTCCATAGAGAATAATCCAGCGGGTTGAGGTCGGGGCTGGAGGAGGGCCATTCGTTCGCCGCAATGAAGGCCGGCACATTTTCCTTCAGCCAAGCTTGGGTGGTTTTAGCCTTATGGGATGGCGCCGAGTCTTGCTGGAAAACCCAATACTTGTTATGGAATAGGGTATTAGACAGGGGTTTCACAACAGTCTCTAGAATGTCACTTTGATAATTTTTGGCTTTCACCTTGACGCCTTGTTGGCAGAAATGAAGCTGAGTGACACCTTCGTACGAAACTCCCCACCATACCATGACACTAGCCGGATGATGAGTACGCGAGACATTCCGTGCTGAAGGTGGGACATCCTTGCTACTTTTGGCATACACTTTATTGTTTTGTCGATTGAACTTTTCTTCGACGGTAAAGATTTTCTCATCGGTGAAGAGTATCTTCCTCGCATCGTGTCTCCCAAGCAGTATTGGACAACGTTCGCGTCGCAATTGACGAAGGCGATCGTTTAAAAAGTGTACTTTTCTACGGCTATACGCTTTAACCTTGAGATCATATTTCAGTATTCTGTTGACTGAAACGCGCGAAATATTGGTCTGCAGAGCGAGTTCCTTCTGAGTGCGACATGGATTTCGGCGAAGTCGCTCTCGGATGATTTTATTGTTCGCAGGCGTCCTCACAGAGCGTGGACGACCACTTCTTTGCCGATCATGTAAAGAACTTGTCTCCTGGTATCGTTTAATAGTGTAATACACGAAGTTACGGCTCACACCAAAACTTTTCAGTTCTCGGAAAATGTCCATAGGTTTTCTTCCCACCTTAAATAATGAAATGACGGTCGCACGTAATTCTTATGTTCCCTCCATTACGAGAAAATTTAAATAAAATAATCCGAAATCATAGATATTAAAAGTTAACATTCCAAATTCAAAATTAGAAAAAGAAATATACAGCAGCCAGTAATTTTTATTTTATTTTTATAAGCAAAAAGTTTGTCTCAAAACTTATGAACACACGAGGTATTACTTACCATGGTACCATGAATGCCTCGTTGGCCGAGTGGTCGCAAGTGCGACTGCCGGGCAAGGGGTCTCGGGTTCGATTCCCGGGCCGGGCAAACTAATAAATGGGTAAACTAATAAACCCATTAATAAATGGGTTTTAAAAAAATTCTCAGTGGTAACACGGAGTCTGGAATCGTGCCCGGTATATGGCAATAGGGTCACCCCCTATTATATGGGACTCATAAAATAAATACTGAAAAGTGGGTGTCACATTGTACAGTGGCATAATGTGCACCTCTGCCTACTCTTTCGGGGATAAAAGGCGTGATGTTATGTTATGTTACTTACCATGGTTTAAAAGATGGGAAGTCCGGCTTTCCGGGTTAAAAACTGTATGTTACGTCTTTATCCTCTCGTGGGATGATCATGGCTGAAATGATAATAATATCAACGTCTTTTCTCAGGTCTCAAACTATCGTATACCGCATTTCACTCAAATAGCTTCAGTGGTTTAAAAGAAAGGGAATTCCGGGATTTTTACGTTAAAAACCCAACCAACCCACTGTAAATATATAAAGTCCCAAGTATTTCGTATCCCGCATAGTTCCCATTACCATAGGTATGTTGGCCGAAGTTGTGGTTTACTCGTTTTTTGACAAATGTACGTACAGTCAACAAACTAGTAAATAGCAAAGCCTGCCAGCCCTGAGGACACGGTAGGGGCATGCCCTGCGTGGGCTGAGCGCCGCCGTGCTCTCAGAGAAGTGATCAGTAACAGCGACCTTTTGCGTCCGGCCCTAGTCTGGGCCATGCGAGCGAGGAGGACTAGGATGCCGTTTCCTCCTTTTGCGAAGCAGTCATGCTAGCTAAGGAGGAGACCGGGCACGTGAGGCAGCGAAGCGCTGCCTCCACACAGCCTAGCCGTCGCGAGGGACTCTCCGGGAGTCGAGGATCGCGGGACGATCCCCGGCCACCGTAAGCGCGGGCCTGCGGACGGGGAGCATGGGTGGCTCGCCGCCCGACAAGAACCAGACACGAGCTAACGGCGCGCCGCCTTCCGCGCGCGCCTCAAAGAGCCATCAGACCACCACGGATGGGGCCAATAGGGCTGCCGCCGATACGGAGGACTTAACGAGTTGCCGGGGCATCGGCTCGAAGGGCAGGAGTAGGAACGGGGTGGATTTTAGTCAGTAAGAGTCTGACACTCTCTCCCCTCTCACCCAGGCGGAAGAAGTCATTCGATGATTTTCCCCTTTAATAAAAAGCCTACAACGTGTACTGTGTAGTAGTAATATTTTGTAATTGAATCTTTTTACAGGGCGTCAGATCGAGGGCGTCTGGCACACTGCCGTTGTGGTGTATGATCGGGAGTTCTTCTACGGCGGAAGCGGTATCACGAGCTGCGCACCGGTCAGTACATAATTCAGTATCACCGCCCTGTCACTACAAATTAGTCATTACTGGCTGCATTCATTACTTCTCGCTCCTATTAAGTAAACCCAAATACCTAGTAGCAGCACGAGTAAAGGTCATGGCCATAGCACACTTGACAGGCGCAGCTCCAACCTAGCAATTAACCTGTCCCACAGATGGGGCCCAACAGGGCTGATGCCGATACGAAGACTTAACGGGTTGCCGGGGCTCCGGCTCGAAGTGCAGGAGTAGGAACTGGGTGGTTTTTAGTCAGTAAGAATCTGACATTCCCTCTCACCTTACCCGGCGGGAGAAGACATTGAATGATTTCCCCCCACAAAAAAAAAAAAAAAAAAATACGTCGCCGACGCGCTTACAACCTTTTTGTATTATTATACTAAAGCAAAAGACGGCGGGCCGGAGCAGTGCTCGTTACTGTGTTACGTTACCTTCACGCCTGCACAGTTGATGCAGTGGCTAGATGACACGCGTCGGGAAAAAGTGTTCATAGTGTTGTCTAATTACAATGATTATTGTTGGGAAATTCGGCCTCGGGCACGTAAAGGTACCATAAATTCTACGCTTGACCTATTTCCGGTCGTACCAGAGAGAAGACAGTGAGGTCCTGCCTATAATATTTGCGTAGTGGACTGTCTGTCTAACTAATTAGACTGCAATAGACTGACCACTGTGATCGGAATTTCAGAATCGATCGGGAGACTTTTATTAGTAGTACAGTCTACAGTTGACAAGACAGTACACAACCTCGCAAGTCTGCAGGTCTCATCCACGGAAAGGTCATTGGGCACCATACACCTACTTATGTGCAAAATACAGTGCTAGCAGCGTGTGCGCCCACGTAACGGGGATAAAAAATATTTGTGTGTTATGTTATCCAGGTCATGGTCCATCCGTGTGCCAAAATTCTAAAATAAATCTGTTCTTTTTTTCCGCGAGAAGGTATCACCCCCCATAATTTTCTACTTTTTAATACACATACGAACATTTATAAACACTAGCTATTTCCGCACTATTTCACCCGTCAGCTCACCTCCAATTGGTCATAGCGTGCGCCTTCCACGGTACATGGACTATCCAACTCGAAAGAATTATTCAATTCCAAGTTGTAAATAGTTCAGGAGATTAGTGCGTTCAAACAAACAAACTCTTCAGCTTTATATATACAAGGTGTTGTTTTAAAGCCGCTTCATTTTCTAGGAGGTAACTCGACCATCGGTTTTGAGTCCGAATCAATAAAAAAATTGTAGGTAAATATTTTTCATTTTTCTGTAAATTACGGAAATCCGTAAGTGCGAACTACAATCCGCCGTCTTGTAACTAGCTTTATTTCGCGGCTTAACACACACAAACTCAAACACGTAATTGATATTATTCCTAATTCCATAAAACTCCAATAAGAAACATGGCTGTCGCTTATTCTGAAATACTGTCGAACTGAAACGATTAACGGCTATAATAGCCGTATTTTTAACAATTGGCCCGAAACTTTCTCTTACACCTTTATGACTTCTGTGACATGCCCCCGAGAAATGGCACGGTTTCAAAACTACACCTTGTTTAATAAAAGTAGATATTAAATTATAAAGAACCCTGATCTTGTTTGTGCATATGTTATGTACCTATGTGGGAACCAACAAAACTTAAAAATAACTATTCAAATCATCGCAATAATTATGAATACGGCGCAATATTTCGCCGCAAATTGACTTTGCGGAAATATGGCTGCAAAATAATACAATTTATCTCTCGTTTAGAATACTACGTAAGTTTGTAATAAATAAGCGGTTCTTGGTATTTTTTGGTTAGCCCTTTTGCCATGGGAATATTGCCACCTTGTTGCTCTTTTTATTATTTTTTTGTATATAACAATTAAAAAAAAACATTTTTATCATTTTTCTTTTATTTATTTTTACTGTTCTTTTCTATTGTTATTTTATTGATCTTTATTGTTGTTATTTTACTATTGCTTAAATGGTGCATCATGCCTAAGGATAAATAAATTATTTTTCTTTATTTCTTTCTTCTCTTCTATTTTCCGGTGACTAATACACAATATCTCATCATAACATAAAAAAGTTACGGTGTGTTTGAACGTGCTACGTGGCTACGTAGCGACGCGCGACGTGGGCAGTGCTAGCCGTGCGGCACCGACGACGTTCAACGTGTGGTTGCCGTGCCGCGGGAAAGACGCGCACAAATGAATGTAAACAGTTTATTTTTGTGCGCGGCGCGGCGCCAACATGACAATAACGGAATGCAATTAATATACGTAATCTGTGCACTTTACACTTATTACGCATGCATTTGCAAGTCCGCACTCCCCTTTGCTTGTTAGTTGTTACCTTATAAACCTCAGTGTCGTACCATTTTTGTCATTTATAGAGTTCGGTACGAAGGTAAACAAAGGTTTAGTAGAGCTACGCTTAGCTCGCTCGTCCGTAATGATACCACAGCAAGCATGGGTAGCTCGCCGCTTGAATAGAACCAGACCCGAGGGTACCTACGGTGCGTCGCGTTCCGCGCGCGCCTCTAACAGCCATAAGGCCACCACGGATGGGGCCCACTAGGGCTGATACCGATACGGAGTCGCGGAGAACGTAAAAGGTTACCGGGGCTCTGGCTCGAAGGGCAAGAGTAGCAACTGGGTGTTTTTAGTCAGTAAGAGTCTGACACTCCCTCCCGTCTCCCTCCTCCTGCACCCAGGCGGGAGACGTGATTCGATGATTTTCCCCGTTCAAAAAAAGACTCACAGGAAACAGGCGTAAAACAACTTGTGTTTTAAAGCCACGTGAGTGAAGTTACCGGAGGCCTAACTATCCACTCCTCAGTCTTCTCAATCCCTGAATCTCCAATCCTTAACCCTCAAAAGGCCGGCAACGCACTTTTAACTCCTTGGGTGTTTCGGGTATCCATGGGCATCACTTATTGGTAACCATCAGGTGATCCGTCTGCTCGTTTGCCGACGGGAATCTTATAATAGGGTAGATGCCTAATTTTTATTTTAATGTCCGTCTGGTAGATTATTTCAAATCATTAGACACATATTTTTTATTTTCTTACAGAAACGAATACTTTCGACGATATATTGATTTAAAATGTCGCGTGTCGTCACTTCTATGTACATTTTATACGTAGAAATGACGTTTTAGCCCCCACTCCTAAACTTTGATTCGTTTTATTTAAGCATTGTTTTATTATACGATAAAATAAAAAAATACGTGTCCAATATTTTTTTATTACCTAACTTACGGACTAATTAGATTTTTAATTTTGATACCCTGTCATCCCTATTAAGAATACAACGCGACAACCAATCTCTAAACCGCTTGAAATGAATGTAGTCCTTAGTCGTAATCCTTAGTCGGGCAGTGACTGGGAAGTGGCATCGTAGGTACCTACATTTATGTATTAATAGACATTGCACCACTGTCACCGCCACCGGCCACCGAAACCGGAGCACGAACTTGTGAAATCGTATTTTTTGCTAAGTGTTACGTATAACTTAGGTCCGTGGGCGCGTGGATCACACCAACCAGTAGGTCGGTGATAGCTCTAAAACGTGTACTTTTACAAGATACAGACTCAACGGTTGCTGGCTAAAACTTTAAAGATGGTGGCTTGTAACTCAACGTATTCCTTTTGGGATGTGGTAATACAACAAATTTCTTACAAAATGAACCGAAAAGAAGAAACACTTGGACAAGACCAGGCTCGACGACACGAGCGTTTATTAGTATTTTACGACTAATGTAATGGTGACGCTTACAATTGCAGGGCAGTACGCAGCTCGGGCCGCCACACCGTGTGGAACGTCTCGGAGAGACCTTCGTGCCCTTCCAGGTGTTCAGCGACTACATCCAGGGTCTGTCGACCACTACCTATAGGTGAATATGACTTACTTGTTACCTTAGATATTACAGACTGACTCGATCGTGGTGTCATCGTGCACTGCATAATAATATAATAATAATGTTATGCAAGTCAGAGCAAGATCCTAGTATCGCCAGAAATAGTCTGCTGAACATTATTGTGTACCTATAATTGGATTCTGAAATGTTCAATTTTCATGTACAGGATGTATCGTGTCACTATAATGTTGTAAAAACCGTTAGATTATAATATATTTGTGAGATTGTGAACAGTTGCAAGATACAATTTAACGTTTTATCGGTAGATTGTTATATAATTATCGAAGTGAAGTGAAACTGTCAAATTGTCAACTTACGAATATCGAATCGTAAACGATTTCACCAATTATAGAAAAGCTTTAATTTTACACAATTACAATTTCTTCATTCTGATTGGTCGAATATACTTTCTAGAACTATAGACTTGGGTACAATCAAACAGAAATGAATCTAGTATCTGTTCTATCACTAGATTTGACTAGAGTCAAAATCCTAGTTCTTGATTCAACTCCCCGCACACATTTGGTTAGAAGGTTAGAATCGCGAGCACTGCATTATTCAGCCGCCTAGGTATGTTGAAAGTGTGAGAGAGCATTACTGCGGCACGAATGGGCTGGCACGACTGGAGTGAAAAAAGTCACTTTTGTACTCCCGGGTGAACTAATTCCGAGGCCACTTTCTTAGGTGTATAGAGCCGTCATATTGTAGTGTATGTATGTTTTGTGCATAATAGTAATGCGTGGCGATAGTTGGAAGTCACTATATAAAGCGTCGTCGGTTGCAGTCCCTCGGCGTACAACCTGCTGGAGCACAACTGCAACCACTTCAGCGAGGAGGTGGCGCAGTTCCTGTGCGGCGCGCACGTGCCCAAGCACATCGTAGCGCAGCCCGACGACCTGCTGGCGCCGGGCGCGCGCGCCGCGCTGCAGGCGCTGCTCGACAGCCTCGTGCCGCAGGCGCAGGTGGGCCCGGCGGACCATGCACCGCACCGCGCTGCGCCCGCGCCGCCGCTCGCTGACGCTTGCTTTGTGTGCAGACGGTGTACGCCAACGGCGGCGCGCGCAGCGCTCGCGCCGACAGCCCGGACTACCTCACGCTCAACTCACAGATAGAAGAAGTTCGGTGAGTAACTAGGCCTCTACTGTTCATACTTATTTTATGGCGTTTCAATCCTCTACATAGAACATTTTGGTGATTACAATTCTGTAAAAATATTATTTCACCCAAAGTTTTGGAAGGCGCCTTGAGTTTTAATAATGTAAACACAAACGAGTTTCAAAAATATCTATCTCTGAATGTCCCATTCAATGGGGTTATAAGACCTTCTCTGATATAGAGAATGAGACTTTGTGTTCTTAGTGATTAATGGGACAACTATAAATGATGCGATGATATGTTGAGATCGTATGGCGAGAATCGATCGCGAACTAAAGTGCGCACGCGATACATAAGTTCTCTTATTCTATAATATTACCTACAGGAAATGTCCGAGTGGACCGTACATTATGTAGGTAGCTTGCTTATTCACTTGTATCTGTCTGGTTTAATTATGGAACCTCCTATAACTTAATCGTTTTTGAATTTATGGGTCTTTTGAAAAATAAAAAAGGTCAATAAATCTCACCAAAGTTTAGAAGTTACCTGGACATGAACGTGGACACGCTTCGATTGTTGTTATTTAATACGGATAGTGTTACTTAGTTAACACAGGGTAGGCGCCAGCAAACATGTAAATTGAATAAATCAGTGTATCTACTCGTATAAACTAAAGAAATATACAAAGATGCCTTTAGATTTTGCCTGCTCGGTAGGTATTCCCATTGGACAAAAACGTCATTTTATGTGCGAAGTCCCATTCTTGAGCTACGATGTAGGTAGAGCCGCAGGAAAGTGGCAGTGGACACATATAAATGAATGAATGAAGAAATAAAAGCAGTACGTAACAAATGAAGGCAGTAGAGGTACATGCGTGGTGCAGCGCGGCGTGGTGGCGGCGCGGCGCGGCGCTGCTGGCGGCCGGCGCGCGCGCGCTGCGCGGCTGGCGCGCGGCCCGCCCGCCGCCGCGGCGCCCCTTCTGACTTATTTCTCCACAATAAACAGACGTAAACTCATCCTCGTGTGTCTCATTTGTAGATAACTAATACGCGGTCAATTGTACACAGGAGGTGGCTTGATAGATGGATTCCATAATTATGTTTTGGTTCTTAGTTAATTCAAGTCGGTTTTTTAAACTTAGTATTATTTCATTTCCTAATTTTAGTTTAATAGGTATATGCAAATAAATTCTATCTGAAACCTAAGCATTAATAACATTTACCTGCTATAATCAGGTCAATCTAATAGCTTCAAAGAACATTTTCTCTATCCATATGTCAGTATAATTGTAATGCAATTCTAATGCCGGGACGCGCACGCATTTCATGCGACTGGACATATTTTCGCTTTCAAACATAGATTTATAAAGCAGGCCATGGGGCTTTTCTGACTGCTGGTTGTGACAGTAATGGTTGGTTATTAATTAGTTATTATTTTTTTATTAGTTATACAGTAACATTTGTACAGTGGTTTCTTGTTGTATCTTTTTGTGTGTTATTTATATTTAGTAAATTAAATTAAAATAACACTACCGTAACACGGCCATTATTGCCATTATACTTTATACCAAATTGTGGACAATGGTGTGGGTTACATATTTACTGTAGCTGTTGTTCAGTGTAAGACTTTTTTCGTAAAATTTATATTTAACTGTTATTATATGTAACTGTTTTTTGTCTCTTAATAAATAGTTCTGATTCTGTTTACATGTACGTTTCTATAGTCTTTTTTTGTCACTTAATTGTAAAGTTGGTTAACCTATAATTGCCAATTGGCGACTGCATCGGCCCAATACTTATTATTATCTATGTTTTTTTAATACTATGCATACAGAAGGTGTTGATATACATAAATAAATAAATGTACTAACTCCGAACCGTTCAGGAGTTGTACCTGCCACGATCAGCTCATTGACATGAAATGATGGTTATCAAATGCAAATATGTACATAGTTGAATAACTTTATGAAATTGTCAAAATAAACGTCACATGTGCTTATCATTTTGAGGGTTACCCTCGATTACCCTGGGATCTCATCATCAGATGCTGAAGAGGTGACGGCAGTATCAACTCTATATATATCTTTATATATATAATTGTTCTGTGAGTGTGTATGTCACTGAACTTCTTTCAAACGACTGGACCGATTTTGATGAAATTTTTTGTGTGTGTTCAAGGGGATCTGGGAATGTTTAGATTCACAAAACAGCCCGGCAGATGGCGCTGCAGGCGGTATCTAGGTTATTTATCTATACCTATTATATTATATGCAGGACAAAGTCAGTCGGGTCCGCCAGTCTTTATTATATATATAATTCTACTGTGCGTGTGTATGTCATTGATGATTGAACTCCTCCTAAACGGCTTGACTGATTTAAATGTTTTTTTCTGTACGCGTTTGAGTGGCACCCTGGATGGTTTAGATTCACAAATCAGCCCGGCAGATGGCGCGACAGTCGGCATCTAGGTCCTAAACGGCTGAACTAATTTGAATGAATTTTTGTTTATACATTCAAGTGGATATGCAGGACAACGTCTGTCGGGTCCGCTAGTATATATATTTTCGGGTAGAAGTTGCAAGATTTCATTAAACGTTAACTTGTAAGTTGAACTTTATTATTTTACTACCATGGTCCATTGTTTGTCTAATATCTTTGGCATTAGTCCATGTAGACTGAAGTTGTATATCTTATACGAAAACTTAAGACATGTAGATGTTTTTTGTACAAATTGCACAACATGCGTCACAGTAAATTTTTATGTAGAGAAGCATATTTCTGAGTCGAACTTGAAAAAAATTCCAATAATCTATCAATTTTGGATCACTGTATCTAAAATAACATTATTATTGTGTATTTGATGATCAGAACAGGTAAATAAACTACTAAAGTAAGATAATAAAAAGAACAGAAAATTAGGTCAAGCTGAACACTGAAAGTTAAATATTTTAAAGACCGTTCATTTCTGCCTATCCCTTTGTTCAACAAAAATGCTGGAATTGATTAGTTCTATAACTCAATTCGAGGTTGTGGTCGAATTACAAATCATCCTGTATACTTATAATAAATGTATAGAGAAGTTAATTCTGTACATGACTAAAATATATTTTCTAAATAATTATCAGGGGGTGAAGGGACTGATGCCAAAATTGCAACCAGTACAATCCTAGTATAGGGCAAAGTTTTAAAAAATTGCCTGTCTGGCTGTAAGAAACAAAAATGCTATTACAAATATGCTCTTTACAGAAAATTATTTGTTTTTTAACTAAGCCATTTTACCGACATCAAAAAGAAGGAGGTACCTACTATTTTCGGATATTTGTTTTTTAAACTAAAGTTATGATTATTTCATAAATAAAAAATATTTCCGTTACCAATCCTTTGTTTAGCAAAGCCAACAATAAAAAAAACATTTTATTCTGCACAAATTGTATTCGTGTGCTCAAGCTCAAATACATACAATGATTTTACTGGAACCTTTAGCACCTTCAAAAATCGACTGCGGCAGTTTCAGGGAGTATTATTTCGCACACGTCCTTATTTTATAAGAATACAGCGTTCTCCAATCTTGTGTCAAGACTCCGTCTTCAATGATGTGTCAAACTGCGGCCTATTACGAAATAAGAGCGAAGTAACCTATTTAGCAATATGTAGTAAGTCGAGTAGGTACCTAGTAACTGTGCAAGTGCGCAAATTGCTTACCTATTGGAGATTGCACTGGGTACATATATACTATAACAAGGTAAAATGAATTATGTTCCTACATTAAATATTGATCACCTGTAGATTGGATAGCATCGTACAAGACTTACTTCATTCACCAAACGGTTTCGGAGGCGCCTTCGTTTCTTGCGTCCACTCGAAATCTGTATGTGACATGCCAGCCTGACACGCGCTGACTGGACGGCCATGCAGCGTACACGGGCGGCACACATCGACCTGAATATAGTACAGCACCACAAACGTTGTTTTAAGTTATCGCTTTATTATTATTTTCCTTAGTGTTTGCATTTTGTGTATTTTTTTATGTATGATCTACATTTTTTACTTTAATAGGAAGGTACCTAGTATTTTGTGTCTATTGTTGCACCAAATAATTGCATAATCGGTAGAAAAACATGAGTAATCCAGTAATATTGCAGTATCCAGTTTGAGCAAACATGAGTGACGGTAGAGATGGTGATGTGCGCAGAGCGGCGTCGCAGGAGCTGGGCGCGCGGCGCAGCACGCTGGCGGAGAAGTTGGCGCGCAAGGAGCGCCGCCGGGACAAGAAGCGCAAGAAGCAGGGCCGCGGCCGCGGGGACCAGGCCGACGATGAAGACGGTGAGCATCGTGTGCACTCGTGCCACCATCGACATAACTTGCTATATACAACAGCGGTCTCGCTTAAACGGTCTATGGTTGATAAACTACAGGCTGTTTCGCGCATGGACCGACACAGTTTTACCAGGGATTTAGGAGTTGAAAAACTACCTTTTACCTAAAACCCTTCGTCACATATGATTCATTAAAACTGAAATGAAATATATTCTCAAAATGTTTTCTTCAAACTCAAAATTACTTTTTTGTTTGTATATATAGTGGACTAAAATAAAGTTTGTTGTATACTTCAACCAACGTCTAAGAAATCTAAAAACATCATGCTTGATACAAGTGGTTTCATAAAAAATTGTGACAGGCTTCCAAAGTTACATTTTTCATTTACACGAATTTATTCAGTACAAGCGCCAACCGCTGTGTAAACGTACTTTCACCGCAAGTATTTATTTTAGTAGGTTTGTTAGTTATACCACGACATATGTGTCACTGACATCCGTCTCTTAGTTTCAACTTGGATAGGCCCGGATTATTCGGCCACCTTTGATTTAAGTATCCCTTAAACTATCAAACACCAAGCGGTCACCGGTGACCGCGACCTATTGTTCTTTAATTGTGTCTATAAAACCGGTACTCGACGAGTTAATTGTTAAGAGTCAGGGTCACTTCTTCGTTGGTAAAAACAAAACTGTCGTTAAGTGCTACCTATCTTAACTTCGGGTTCCTTAAAATTTAGTAACTCTTAGTTGAGATTGTTTAAGAATAGTTGATGAAATTTACCTTTCGTGTTAAATTAGGCATAAATTCAAGTCGAACCGTTTGGTAGTCTGCACTCGGCCTAAACTGGGAAAGTTTCCTCTCAATGTTTGCCTTTACCATATGTCAGTGGTGTCTAAATAATTTTGGAAAGTACATAATTATAACTCGGAATACATCTTACTTTCTTTCTTTTTTCTTGAAACGTTGCCCTGCTTTAGGATTTTCTTCTGTGTGGTAGGTGCGTTTACAAAGATACTAGTACACATGCACATATCATGACACCCAGACCCGAAACAACAATTTATGGATCAGGCGTGCGGAAATCGAACCCGCTACACGTTGCACAGCTGCCGGTTGAAACCTGGCAAGTACGTACATTGGTGCCTGCCAGGTTTAGAACCCGCACCCTCATGCATGAGAAGCGGGTGTCTTAAACCTCCGGGTCACCACGACCGAAAATAATTATATTATGTTATCAAAATATGTATTCGGACAAACCGTAGCAGAATGTCCTTAGATCGACGACGCGAAACCCGAATTCGACTATTTTACGTTCGACTGAAAGGTTAGGATCTTTCGACTGAAATTACGTTAGTCAAATGCCGAAATTAGAATTTATTTCTTGGTTAGCCCGTAGGCTTTGTCAATCCTACAAATAAGCAGTCATTCCGGAAGAGACCGAAGGGACTGCATATCAACCTACATGACGACACGACATGCACTGTGCTTTACTGAATGACTGACATTATCAAACTTTCGAAACTTCAAGACGACATATAGAAACCTAAATAAGTTTCTTATGAAGTGTAGGGAAACTGGATTAACAAACAGACATAATTAAAAATAATACGATTCTACTCCTTATATGTAGTTATACAAACTGGTTATTCTGTATATTCATTGTTAATAGTTAAACGTCAGACTGGCTCGTTGGCCGAGTGGTCGCAAGTGCGACTGCCGGGCGAGGGTTCTAGGTTTCGATTCCCGGGTCAGGCATAGGGTTCTTTCTCAGTAGTCGCACGGAGTCTGGAATTGTGCTCGGTATATGACAATAGCTCACCCCCTATAACATGGGACTCGTAAGATAAATAGTGAAAAGTAGGTATTGCTCTGCAACCCCTTCGGGTATAAAAGGCGTATTATTATGTTGAACGTTCTTCATGTAGGTTAACAAGTCCACAAGCCATGTTACGTTAATAAGTCTTGATTCTACCGATTCCATTGTCTCTGTAAGGAATGTACGAAAATAGTGAGGGACTCTGTTTTCGATAACATAATGAGGGCCGGTGTTAAACTAAGCCCGAGCAGTCTAGGGCTCCGAAATCGGTAGCACTTGTATACAAAACGAAGTGTTGAATGCAGAGAGTAACGAAGTATAAATACACTGAGTAGCTGGCGCGCGGCCAGGCGGCCAGGCGCGGCGGGAGCGCGCGGCCAGTGCACGCCGCGCGCCGCCCCACGCCGCCCTCTGCACTTTATTTATGTTACGGCTATTTCCGCGCGGGACTGAACACGACTGCCACGTTGCGAACTCGACATTTTTAATTCGGATCGGAATTCTATAGTATCTGAGTGATTCTGTCCACGACTACCAGTGATATCTTCACGCACACAACCTCGGCTCGCCAAAGGGATCTCGAGTTTCGTGTAGGTGCCACGTAACGACCAAGTTTTAGGTTAGTAGTTAACCTAACCCTCTTTAATGAATTGATGATTTCACCAGAATTTAACATAGTTAACAATTTAGAATATGCTGGAACGAAGTATTTATGATCCTCTCTAATATCTAACGGAGAATGTTTTTGGATGGTGTAGAGATGGCGGAAGCTGTAGAGACGGCGACGGCGGGCGTGCCCGAGGAGTTGTCCCGCGCCGGGCCCAGCTCGGATGCACTCGATGCTGAGGCAGACGAGAGGCGCGAGGAGGAGCTGCGCAAGCGCAACCGAGACCCACCCATCGTGTTCAATGATATCGACGTGAGTAGTTGCAGTGATTAACTAATTGGTCGCGGCATGTCGGCCACAGCCGTCGGCACGAGTTCAATAGAGGAGCACGTGACGCGGCGGCGGGCGCGACCGCGTGCGACCCACAGACTGCACGTTGCGGGAATGTTTACGTCGCGTGCGATAAATATAATATTAGGTGCCCAGACACTGGAACTGCGGGACTGTGGGCGTTCCAACATTTCCTAAATGCACTGTTACAATTTATTGCTACTTCTGCAGCCATAGAGGGCAGTTCCGCTAGAACTATATAGGGTACTAGCTGTTTCCCGCTACTTCGTCTGCGTATATTTATTTAAACGTTGCCCCACACTAGTATTTTCTCCTGTGTCGTGGGTTCGTTTACAAACATACAAGTTCACATATACATGACACCCAGACCCAGAACAACAATCTATGGATCACACAAAGAGTGGCTCCGTGCAGGAATCGAACCCGCGACACGTCGCGTGGCAGCCGGCTGCCCAGCCATCGCACCAACCGTGCAGTCATAATATGTCAGTATAATAATGACTTCTGGCAAATTTTGTTTTTTTTTATTAGTCTTCTTCAAGGTTAATTGCAATGCTGTGTAACAAATCTCATCAGAATCAATTTAGTTATTGTTCAGGCTTAAACGCCTTCAAGAAATATAACGCAAATGAACGGCGTTCGCTATTCGACTATTATTACGAAATCAGTTGTCATCCTTCACTTACCCTTGGTCCACCGAACGTGTAACATTATTTTTTTGTATTAAATATTTGGAATTGACGGACTTATATTTATTTTGATATGTGGTTTATTTTCGTGATTTAAAAAGAATAAACAATCCCACAGGGCTTTTACCCGCACATTATCCATTCCCGTGAGGTTTCAGTGAACTTAACTGCATTTGAATTCCAATCAAATAGGTACAGCGGTTGAAAACTATCAGGCGTCATTTTCCGAGTCAAAAGCTATCGCTGTACCGAATTACACTCAAATAGGTTCAGTGGTTTAAGCAATAGAGAGTCCCAGAATTTTAACGCATAATTCCCGTCCCGTGAGATTTCCTTTCCAGTGCCAGTGTCTTAACCTCTCATTGAACCGAATTTCAATCAAATAGGTTCAGTGGTTAATAAAAATTCCCTCAAATAAGTTCAATACTTTAAAAAATAGAGAGACCCAGAAGTTTAACGCAGTTCCTGTACCGTGGGATTTCCGAGATAGAACAATCATGCGTCCTTTCCAGTCAGTGCCAGTGTCTCAAACTCTCGTTGAACCGAATTTCATTAAAATAGTTTAATAACATTAGTATTCAGCCTCGGAGTACCCAAAAAATGTTGCTAGAAAATTTCAATTAACTAAAAGCGATTAGTTTAACTGTTTCCTAGTTCAAAATATATCATTTGAACATTACATACAATGAACATGCCACAAGTTTTAAACAAAATTATACATTAAAACCTTAATCGAAACCTAACATTATTAAGCTGTTTACAATTTTACTATGGATTATATCAGCTGTGACCATTGACTACTTTATATTTTGTTATGGGTTTGTGGCACCGACTTCTCACCTATCAGTGGGTGTGTAAGCTATAAGTACTTATGACCAATATTAGTTATTTGTTGGCTTTTTAGTTTTTACTTTTCGTATGTCATTAGTTTTTGAAGTCGGTTTTTTAAATTTTATTTTATACTTTTTATTTTAGTACTTTAATATATTATACTATAAACAACTCTCATGGATGCAAAGTTTTCACCAATACAAATTGTTCAAGCTCAAACACCGGGTGGTGTCAAACACTCTTAACCATTGAGGAGTTCCCCTAGCCATCATATTACTTCATCATTGTACCTTTAATGACCATCACCCCCCTTCTACAGATAGCGCGCGAGTTGAATGCAGAGCTTAGGAATGCGGTAGTGCTGTGACCTAATTATAATTATTGATGACCACAGTGAGTAATGAATGTCGATAAATTTAAACAATGTTATAAGTTTAATTTTATTTTTTACACTAGGCTAAAATGATGAAAAAAATACAATATCATAATTATGTTATATTATCACATGTTTTTAATAATCATTTCACAAAACTGAATATTTTTTTTTATTAGATTCAGAAATGGCAGATATGGTTGAATCGGTGTCACTATCCTCGCCGTCGCTGACCTCAATGACGAATCGATCTATGGGATCTTCAATTAATCCATCTCTTTGCCAATAATTTTCTTCTAAAATTATAGCGTGACGTGACTCCGATCAGTCATTATTAAAATAAAAAAGAATAACACGGGAACTTTAGTATTAACACAATAACACGGCAAACGTACGATAGTTGACAAGGATGGCGCAGCACTACACTGCAGGCGCGTGACGTGGGGCGTGCGGATAGCGGGGGGAGATGCTCCCGCTCTTTACCTCAGACCCCGACTGCATTCAACTCGCGCGCTATCTGTAGGTGTAAAGTCCTCATCATACAAATTATCAAACCCAAACACAACATAGCTACTAGTAACCGTTGAGGAGTTCCCGCAACTATCGTACTACTTCACCTTATTGACAATTACACCCCACCTAGATGTAAAGTCCTCATCAATACAAATTATTCAAATCTAATCACAAGTTAGCTGCTGTTAACCGTTAAGGAGTTCCCTCGACTGGCTTTCGACTCCATCATCAGATCGACTCCAGACCTCTATCAGATTGTAGTGGTTTTTAATACTTAATGAAAAAAATAACAAATGCACTTGTCGCCCCCTAGAATTTTCGAAAGCTACCTTGGTTGCCCTAGGATCTCATCATCAAATCCTGACCTCATGGAAATGGGTCCATCTCGGGAGTATACCCTTTCAAAGAAAACAAGAATTTTGGAAATCGGTTCACAAATGGCGGAGTACTGCGCGAACAAACAAAAAAAAAAACAATCAGCCGAACTTAGTACCTCCTCCTTTTTTTGAAGTCGGTAAAAACCAAACCAAAGTCCAAAACTAAAAGCCAAAAATCAATAGTTCATTCATAAATAATAATAATGTTATGTATTTCCCACCTACGTTTCTCCATTTTAGTTAGAAGTCAATATAATTTTTGAATGATTTTTAACTAAAAACTGCGGCATTCCATCATTTTTAGGGATTGTCATCACGCAGCATTAGGTATATAAGTTTCCAGTACATAAAAGATATCGGTATTTGTAAAATTTTGATCATGGTAGTCATGTAAATGAAATGAGAGGTGTTCGAATTTGATGGTAACCAATTTTAATTTGGTTATTTTAAAAAACGAAGATAAAATGTTATTTAAAAATATCGTATCACGAGGTGTGACTTGGCAGACATTTTATATTGCTGAGTTTGTGGCACACTGTACGTTTTGCTCAGTCTGATGGTAAGCGGGTACCGTAACCTGTGTATAACTGTAGCTGTAACTCCATAGACATCGCAAGTACGTTATCGACCACGTACGTAGGATATTGACTCATTAAATTTTATCATTCCCTAGGGTGTGCAAGAATTTGAAAAGTTTTCAAAGGCATTGGAAAGCGTGGAGCTTACACCGGAGGAACGACAGAGCGTCGACGAGCTGCAGCAGTACCTCGTGCAGGGCGAGGGCAGCTGGGTGCTGGGCGACGACTTCCTGGCCTTCATAGGTACGTACGCGGGCGGGCGGGCGGGCGACCTTGCGGCGCGCGGCAGCTAGTGACGGGGCGTGTTGCAGGGCGCGTGCTGCGCGACGCGGCGCTGGCGGCGGACGTGCGCGTGTGCGCGCTGCGCTGCCTGGCGGCGGGCGCGCTGCGCGACGACGTGTCGCTGCTGCTGCACCAGGACCGGCGCCACCACGCGCTGCTCAACTACGCGCACGACGTGGAGCGCCACTCGCCGGCCGAGCAGCTCGCGCTGGCCCTCTTCGTACGTACTGCTGCAGGCGAGGCGGCCGCGCCGCCGGCCCGCGCTGACGTCCCTGTGTGTTGCAGCTGTGCAACCTGTTCGAGAACGTGTCGTCGTCGGAGTGGCTGCTGTACATCAGCGAGTGGGACCACGACGGACAGCCGCTCTCCAACATCCGCGCCACCACCAAGGTACGCGCCGCTTGTACGACATCGACCGGACCTACCCGACACTTTACTCATACTACAATGACACACTTAATATGTGTAGTTATATATCACGTGAAGTAATTCAAAAAAGCAGTAACAGATTCAAATCCCTACGGGACTTATTCATGAGTAGTGTGCGCGGCGCGACGACGCGCGACGTCGTCAAATAGTTTCTTCAATTAGACCGATATGGCACTATTTAAATCCAAAACTAAATATATTATCCAGTGATCAAGCCAAAGTTTGGAGTTTTCTTAAATCTTTAGGAATCGGAAAATCTACACAAGATTTGTCCCCTAAAAATGTCGACATCGATTCACTTAATCCACACTTCTCGTCTTCGCCCAAATTAGATAGGGCCACTAAAACTTCTACTTTGAATAATCTTTCACAACTTCCGATACCTAATTTTCTCCATTTTTCATAAGTCAATTTACTGCATGTGATGTTAAGAGAAGCATATTGTCTACTACCTTCAACGCCGTTGGTAGCGACTGTATTAGCCGGAAGATGATTCTGATAAGATGATCCCTATCCTCGATGAAATCCTTCCGTTTGTTTTATTTATCTTCAATTTTTCGATTTCCAGTAGAGTCTTCCCTCGGTAATGGAAGGATGCTCATGTTGTCCCCCTTCCTATAAAACCTACCTCCTTCTCTGACTACCGCCTCATATCTACCTTTCCTTTTTTATCCAAAATCCTTGAAAAGCTTATCCACCACCACTAAGTATGTTCCTTTCTAAACACAATCTCCTTAGTCCCTACCAATCTGGTTTAGGCGGGGTCATAGCACTACCACAGCCCTCGTAAATATTACGGACGACAGTAGGTCGGGCATGGAGGTTGGGAAGTTAACCGTACTTGTCTTACTGGATTTACGCAATGCGTTTAATACGGTTGACTTCGACATTCTGTTTGGTGCACTCAGCTCTCTCAACATATCTCCATCGGTTGTTGACTGGCTTGGCCGTTACCTGTTTGGCCGCCGCCAGCGTGTTCACTTTGAGGATACCTACTCTTCATGTTACACTGCCGCCGGTGTGCCTCAAGGTGGCGTTCTATCTCCTTTACTTTTCGCGTTATTCATAAATTCTATCTCTCTAGGTCTTTCTTTTTCCTATCATCTTTATGCGGATGATCTAAATCTACACTCAAGCCTCGCTCGAGCATTTACCGGAAACTATTGCTTTGGTTAATCGGGATATAACTTGTATAAGCGACTGGGACGCTAACTTTGGACTGCTAATTAATCCATCCAAAACGCAAGCGACTATCATCGGTAGTGCGCGCTGTTTCCAAAATTGATTGGACAAATCTTCCTCAGGTATCTTTCTTAAATACAAATATTCCTTTCTCCCGAAAAGTTAAGAACCTGGGAATCTTCTTGGACAGTTCTCTCTCTTGGACAAAGCAGTTGGAGATGGTCAGTCGCAAGTTATTTGCCTCGGCAGGTTCCCTCAGACGGTTTCGTAATTTCTTGCCCAATGCTACCAAAATTACACTTGCTCAATCTCTTCTTCTGCCTGTTCTAGACACGAGCTTGAGCGACTTCAAAATCTTCCCATCAGATTCATATTTTGTCTTCGCAAATATTATCATGTCACTGAATTCCGTAATAAGCTCAAATGGCTTCCTTTTCGATTTCGCCGGAACTCTCATATTCTTTACTTACTGTAGGTACTTACAATATTCTTTTCAATCCTTCTACCCCATTTTACTTAAAAGAGCGTTTTCAGTTTCTCGGTGACACACATTCGTCGTCAGGTCTCTGAGATCGTCGGAGAATCTTAAATTAAGTATACCTATACATTCCTCTTCCTTCTTCGATAAGTCTTACCTCTATACTATTCAAGCGGCTCGATTGTGGAATGAATTGCCTATCGAGGTGAGGCGTGCCCAAACTTTGCGTCAGTTTAAACACCTTGTGAAGGAGCACTTTCTTACATTATAAGCTTCTGTTTCTCCTTTCATTAATTGTACACACATACACATACAGACAACCAAACACACACATACACACACACGCACTCACACACATAGTTTATTGTATTTTTAAATATTATTTATGTATTTTCTTTATATTGCTAGTATATTTTATCTATTGTAGGTTGTATTGTAGGTATTATTATTTTGTCTTTTTTTATTGTACACCTTACTATCCCATCTCTGGTTTCTTATAAATATTTCCATCCAAAGGTTGTCTGGAAGAAATCACCATTGTGTGATAAGACCGCCCATTGTACGCATATTTACTTGAATTGTTTGTTTTTAAGCTACTTAAATGTGTACAATAAACCATATATAAATAAATATAAATAAATAAATATATTAATAAAGTGTCTGCCTGTCGGCCAGTCCACTTGACAATCTATTTGCTCACCTCAGTGGGCAAATCTATGAAAAAAAACAAGGCAGAAACTTGTAGTTATGAATTTCCCTGTGAGTGTCAGTTTCACTTCCACGTAAGTAGAGTGTTGATGAAGGCCCGCCTGCAGGTGACGGTGCACAGCGCGCTGAGCGGCGACGCGGCGCTGCGCGACGTGGGCACGGCGCTCATGTACAACATCGCCACCAAGGAGGTAAAGACCGTGGTCTGTATCGACAACCTCTCTACTTCTTACTCGCTTCTACTAACATCACTCGCTCCCTCGTCTTCGTATACAGCCGACGCGGCGCTACCACTTCTCCCTGTTCTACAAAATCTCTTCGAATTGTCAATAGAAGACATGTTATAAAGAAACCATAAAATCGCGTGAAAATACAAGAACTATAGACGTTCCAATTGGCGTTCTATAGTCTCTGCTTGCCTTCTCCCATGAGAAACAGGCAACCAGACGGGTCATGTATGTATGTAATTATTGTAGACGTAAAAATCGTCCACAATTATCTATAGAGGGCGGTTTTATTCTCCTTGTCGTGTTTCAAAATAGACCTGCGTGACACGACGAATGGGTCATTGTATCATAAAGCGCAGTCCACGGGTTACATAGTGTACCGTAAACTTCTTATTTTCACATACTTTTAACGAATTCGACCGACTTGAAAGCTGTCCGCTTGTGTCATCGCGGTTATACTCTTTACTGAAACAATGAATGATATTTATTTTTGTGCCATTACTCATAATTTCTGTTATATTTCTTCTATAGTTATCTTAATTAACATCTTTAATTTGTAGGCTACCTAATGAGAGGAATGAGAAACAAACAACACTGACATTACTACAATACTAATGTTTTTACATCGTATATTTCTCTGTCTGTTATACATCAAAGTCAAAGTTTATTTCAATTAAACCATAGTTTGGTACTTTTGAAACGTCAACAAATACAAAATAAATAATAGTCTGTCAGTCAGTCCGTCAGTGAAACTAGGTGAAGCTAGGTGCTCATTCCAAAAAGTAGATTCGAATGGAGAAGAACGAGCAAGAAACTCCATTCGTTACTCTTTTTAAAAAAGTATGTTCTACAATGTCTCTGATACATATTTCAATACTGTACGCATATGTAAGAACAATGCAAAGACACGCTTGACGCATTATACTAATAACTTACTAAAATTTAACAAAAAATCATCGGTAAATCAATAGGTTTATTGAGGTTAAGGACCTGTGTCAGCATTTCTTAAACGTATGTGGCAGATAGTTTATACAAATTACGTTCAATATTCAATCTGGTACTTGGCGGCTATACAAACAACATTGAATCAGGCTGTTAAGTTATTTAAAAAAGAAAACTTTGCCCTACACAAGGATTTTTTCCTGTGTCGTGAGTGCGTTTACAAACATTCAATTTCCTATACAAATGACACCCAGACTCGAAACAACAATTTGTGAATCACAAAAAAGAGTTGCTCGGTGCGGGAATCGAACCCGCTACACGTTGGGTGGCAGCTGTTTGTCCAGCCACCGCGTCAACCGTGCAGTAAGTAAACTTTTACTGCCTTTGTATCGGACGGGCAAGGGCATAATTAATAGCTAAAATAAAAAAGAAACAAATACTGTAATGAAATGTTGTTTATACATGTCATATAATTAGTAATGCTTATAAATCAATACAAATATTATTTCGTATTGCACAAAGACTAGACACCGTGTAGCAGTAGTCTATGGAGCAAACATAATGCAACTTATTAACTGGTTGTTTTAACATTCTCGATTCTTTCGATTTTACTTATTTCCAATGATACAATAAACGGTAGTAAAACGAAACTGGGATAATATGACCTACATCTAAAGAGACTAGCTAGGCTATTCTGTAACTTTCAATTCGAAAGATCGAAGTTAACTCGAATCGCGGTCCGCTATATCATTGGTTGCGATTGCGATACTAATCTCGATCAATGACGGACAAGAATGGTATCGAGCTCACTTCTCAGACACACGCGCATGCACATACTAAAAGAGACGTCCACGTTCAGCATCTGGTAAGTAGCTGTAGGCAGCAACCTGTCAACCTGAATGACGTCACGGCCCTGTGCACCGATTGTTCCCTATTTTGTATGGAAAGCGTATTCTAACAGTACACTCATTTCTGTTGAGTAAGCTATTCCAAACAACTGCGCCACATACCAAACACTGAAGCAGAGAAGCTTACTCAAGTGTCGTGGGTATAATTGTTGTAGACATTTTTGTTATAGCAGAAATGCAAATAACCTCCATTAGTGACTAGTTTAATACATTACCAGTAGTGCCGACTAGTCGTCGAAGCTGACTTATTTGCTACTTTGGTAGCCGCCCACTAGTCGGTTCCATTATTTATGTGTATAATACGCTTAATTCGCGTACTATACGTTTCTAATGAACGGGCATCCAAATTATTGTGACTCTGGTTACACTTCATTTTGCGGGAATAATTGTACAATTGGTGAAAAAACCAAGAACAATAATTACTTTTTGTCATCAAGCACATTAATGGAACGTTTCATTTGGAGGAATGATCGGAAGGCCGGGCTTTCATAATAATCGGCTAGTCAGCTACTCGTTTAAAGTCATTATCGACCCCTCTCTAGTTAGTTCTAGTTATAATGAAATCGAGCAGATTTTTTAGCTTTCCACTGTTTAGCTGCCAAAATAAAGTAGAGAACTGTCGCTGCACGGCGGACGTTAGGCACTGTGATACAGAGCAGGGCGTCATGTTACAGCGGTTCCAAGCGGGCAAGGCGCTCCGACACTTGCTGCCCAGGGGCGCGCGGTCCAAGGTACCGTACTCATACCCTACTCTCCCGCTCACATCGCTCCCACTCATACGGAATTCATTTACATTACTGAACCTCACTGCTTGATCCTAAGTGTGTGTCTCAACAACGCTATTTTATGACCATTATATTGTATTTGTACTGACAATCGTTTTATCATACAAAATAAATGTAACGACATTTACCTGCGTCACTCTTGAGCCAATGATATTAAGTACGTATCGTAAACGTGTAAAACTACTATACACAAACAAGCATAGTGTGGTTTTTACATAAGTAAACGGAATGTTTCCATTCCATCGTGTGACTGCGACCACCTTCCTATGTCGTACATATAAACATATTGACTTAGTTAGCTAGTTACCGTTGCGCGTAGGACACCTAAAGCAACATTAAGTACGTACAGTCAGCGTCAATTGTTGACTAACACGGATAAAAAAGCGTGATGTTATGTTATGAAACTTCAGGATATTTAAATAAAAAAAGCAGCTATGTTTTTATATTGTTGACATGAAAATGCACTTAAAAATAAAAGACATTTAATACGTTAAACTCATATAGATAGGTTCAGTCAAAGCGCCTTGTATATCACACAACAAATGCAGGTACCTCATTTTGAAACATTTCAAATGTCGTAAGTGCCACAATGGCGGCATGTATGTGGCCATATTATTATTTATGGTGCTTTGACTAAACTTATTTTATGACGTTTTAAACCTAGTCGTTGCAGTGAAATTATAAAAATTAAATTATTGTCAATTGACAATATTTTAAATTTTATGACTGCGTCGTTGGCCAAGGGGTCGCAAGTGCGGCTGCCGGGTAAGGGGTCTTGGGTTCGATTACTGGGTCGGGCAAAGTGTTACAGGGTATTTAAATCTCAGTACAATTTTTTGTATACCGCCGAATACCGGGCACAGTTCTAGAGAATTGTGCCCGGTATTCGGCAATAAGCTCACTCCCTATTACATGGGCCTCATAAAATAAATAGTGAAAAGTGGGTGTTACATTGTACAATGGCATTAAGTGCCTTAATGGACACCTCTACCTAACCTTTCGAGGGTAAAAGGCGGGATTTAACTAAAATCGCGGGTTCTTCCTCATGAGCAGCGTGCGCGGTCGCGGCGACGTCGCGCAGGTCACTGAGCTGAAGAACCCCTCTGTGGTTCGAAACTAGTAGAGCTTTTCTCAGTTTATTCACGTGAGTAACCCGCGATTTTAGTTAATTTAGTATGTCTCACGATAGTTATTATAAAAGTGCATGAAAAAAATAGTGTTTGTGTATTTTATTTATGTACATTTCAAATGTGTTTTTTATAATTTTTTTCGTTTTGTAGTTTCATTATAGGTATTACAAATTTAACAATCAGAATGCCCATGGTCCACCGTGGTGTCCTCGCTACGTAATAATGGAGAGTTATCTTTGCCATCATTACTTCCTCACAACCCACCCGTCGCGAAGGACACTCCGGGCGTCGGGGATCGCGAGGTGATCTCCGGCCACCGTAAGCGCGGGCCTGCGGACGGCGAGCATGGGTAGCTCGCCGCCGGATTAGAATCAGACCCGATGAAAGTCATCGAGGTCGAAGCGATCAAGTCAAACCCGGGAGAAGTCTTTCGATGATCCCCGCCCCCTTTCCATTTTGTTGAAATTGTAAATGTCATATAAATTCATTATATTGTCAATGTCAAACTATTACTCAAAATATTACGTCAGTGTTTATTTGTCGCAGGCCAATGACGAAATCAAGAATTTCATGAAATTCCTAGTAATGTCAAATATTCTTGTTTGTTTAGTCTTGTTACTGTATCTACAATGTATGTCATTTCTCTAAACTAACACCATGCGCGGAAACTGTTTTTCTTTTCTTTTATAATCTATATAATTATTTAAGTTTGTTGTTACATGTTAACAAATAAACAGTTGGTTTATTTGAGGTGAAAGATAATATCTTATAAATATTTAATTTACCTACTTATTAATTTTTGTTACACTTAGTGTAAAATCTCAAATTTCTTATCAATAATGTAAATATTAGTAAATAAATGAATAAACAAGAATATTCATGATTCTAGGAATTTGGTACAATCACTGATTTTCACATCTTACTTCGACATTTAAATTCGTAAGATAATATTATGTTTTTAATGGATATTTCTATGTGCTATTTTGCATGATTCCATTAATGTAGTTTTAAATAGTAGTAATACTCCATATTTATTTCGTACTATTTTTTTTTCTTGTCGGACATGGCTTCTCGGAACGCAAGGGTGGCGTTACTCTTACGCAATTCATAGTAGTAGTAGTACACAAGTTATCTTCCCGCCTTACTTCCACATATCCTACGGCTGTATCTATACGCCTACCGTGATACTAATAACGCTTTGGCTCTACGTGTTGCTGAACTATTATTACACTCGTTTATTTGTGACTATTTTGTAACAAGTTCACATAGTCGACTTCCGGTACGTTTCAGCTCGGCATTCAGCACTCGGCAAATCCTTCCGAAACTTTCATATTGTTTAATTATAACGAAAAACAAAACCACTTTGGTTAACTTATAGAAAAATACTTGAAATTAATTGAGAACAATATAATAACAATTTTACGATTAATTTTTGACAAAATTATTGATTGAGATGGGTAATATTAATTCTACCCAGTAAATTCTAAACACTACTCTTTAAAAAAAATAAGTATTACAATCTTACAACATAGGATCTACTATAAATGGAAGACCTTTTGTATGTATATTTAGGACGCAAATGAACGTTTTTGACTTTGACTTCGTACTGGGTATTTTCTCGATGCCCATCTCTAGTCAGACACATACCATTTTGTTTTAAAATTTTGCGACAATAAAGTAAACGCGGTACGTTTATTTTTCCGTAATCGTGACGTCATATGGCGCTTACGTCTGTTTAGAATGATTCAATCTTTAAATTGAATGTTATGAATGAAAAGTACATAATTTTGAGAAAATAAAAATATGGGTGGGTGCCACATGTTTTGAATTGTGTAATTGCATGCAACATTGCGTGTTAAAAATATGACATGTTGTAAATTATCAAGTGCTTTATAATGCAGCAACAAGACTTACGGCGTTTAGCAATAACAACGAACATTTTTTTATGGAATGAACCAGCAATCGAGTGTACCAATCATCTGATGGTAAGCAGTCAGCGCTGCCCGTGGATTTGAGGATTGGGGAGGAGAGGAGGGTTATTGGGCCTCCAGTAACCCCACTCACACGGAAGTATGGCTCTCACTTACACTCACAATTTTTGCTATTTTGTGCAATCCTTGAGTTGGTTCAGTACTTATGGATTAAACTTACCAAACGAAATAAGAATTTTATGTTCATATGCCATAAAACATTACTTATACAATATCTACTACATACATATGTATAATATGTATATTTTTTATTTAAAAACGTACCCAGATCTCGCTTAATTTAGTGGTTCTCGTTTTTGTTTTATATTTTTAGACAATAAACATGTTTTTAAGTATAATGTATAAAACAGTTAAAACGTTTGCATAATTAACAATCTCGTTTATACTAATTAAATAGTGTACAAACTTGTTTCTGTAATTAATGTATTATGATCCCCACACGAAGTACGTTATGCTAATTTAAATTGTTGTATTTTTATCTGTAGACTGTAAATATTGTCGTGGATGGAAACTGATAGGATCTCTCATAAGACGTGATTTATGAATGTCGTTATCTAAGTAGCGGTCATAAATTAAGCGGGACGTGTACGTGTTGTATATCTACCGGCTTCGTCGTATTTCCCTGAAATGTATCACAAACAGATGCTAACACGTCATCACGTCATCCAGCACGCACCTGTCGCATCTCGGCGGCGCTGCAGCTGACGTGCGCAGGCGGGCAGGCGCTGGTCGCGCTGCTCGCCGCGGAGATATCTGCGCTACACGTGCCGCGGCTCGACTGGCTCAGCGTTCAACCAGTGTCTCAAATAACAAGCAGTACCTAAATTAAATCAGTATATTGAAAGCTCTACTAGTTTCGAACCACAGAGGGGTTCTTCCCCATGAGCAGCGTGCGCGGTCCCGGCGATGTCGTGCAGCCTACTGTAACTAGTAGAGCTTTTCTCAGTATATTCACGTGAGCAACCCGCGATTTTTATTAGTATGTTTCACTATAGTTATTATAAAAACAAAGTAGTAGGTACCTACTCAACTAATTTACTTAGATTTAAGCTGCGTTGTAAAACATTTCATATACTTAATATAAATTCTTCTAATAATGTCATTGTAAGTAATGTGAAAAAAAAAACAAAGTAGTCACACACAGTTACCTAGGTACAATTTCGACATGACGGTTTATGCCAATCGCAAATAAAAATATGTGTGCAAAAAGTTTAAGTGATAATGTCAGAAGGCAATCTGGGTGTTATTTCAAGATTACGATGTTGTTTAACGTTGGCACAATAGAGTGGCGCGATGGCACGAGGGCGGCGCGCGCCGCGCGTTGTATTTGCGCTGGGCTCGGATGTGGCATTACGTGTGACACTAACGTGTGTACCCACTTCGTTACATATGTCACGTTGTATGAACATTTCATTCAACATTTTCTCGCTTTATACATGCGATCAACAGTATCTGCTACGAAATTCGATCTCGCAAGATTGAGGTTCAAGCAGCCAGGCCAGAACCTGAGGCCCCTTGCTCAGCAGTCTACTTGCAACAGGTCGACCAACGAAGTAGAATAATTAATTGATTTATAATTGTCAATTAAACTATACCTACTCAGAGATCTATAAAAATAAGATTAATTAACAAAATCGTCTACCGTGTTTCATCGAATAGGACGAATCTTTCACTCCATTCCAGAACACGTATCTTGGTAATCCTTTAGTCTATAACTTTAGTTGTCTGTCGATTCTTTGATAACACTGGTCTACAAAAATAAGTATTTAAAAAGTTACAGCTGTACAGTTACAGTACAGTGCTACAGTTTTTTTTCTACAAAGTCACGGAAGAAGCAAACAATTATATAATTTCAAGAATTTTACAGTACATTACACAAAATCTAGATGTGATAGACATGTACTTTCTTTAAAAAACGAGGTTATCTTGCTTAGTTCTATTCAAAAAGATGGTAGTTTTAATTGCTACAAAATACTGTCGACCACTGTAATATTAGTAAGTAGCCTTCAAGTTTTCTGTATATGTCACATAAAACAAAAGGTTTTTTTAATGTATTTTATGTGTACACGCTTGTATACAGATATACCTATGTATGTACGTGTGCGTTATATCGTACCTCGTGATTGTGATAAATCGTTTTACGACTATATCGGGTATACACAAACCTCAACTTGACATTGTCAGCCCATGGTTGGATGATATACATATTGGACTAGACGTCGATTTGCCTCGTTGTGGGGATAAAAATGTTATATTTAATGCACGCGTGTTTGTACCCGCGTGGAGGTGCGTCAGCGCGGCGCGGGGTGCATGTACTACATGACTGCACTGTAGAACAGAACAACGAGTATAGTCCCCGGCAACTAACAAGCCAACATTTTCTCGTGGCGGAAATAAGTTTATACATTGTGTATTTTCTGATTATTTTATGAATAACATAACATCTTTAAATTTTAATTGTGTTTTTTAAATAAAGTGATCGTTAAAACAAACCAAAAGTAAAAAATAAAAAGCACAAAAATACTATTATTGGCCATACGTACTTATAGGCTACACGCCCCCTGGTCGCCCCTGGTAGGTGAGAAGTCGGTGCCGCAAGTTTAAAAGATCGGTACCTAACATTATTAAGCTGTTTACAATTGTATTATGGATTATACCTGTGACCATTACCAAGTTATACTTTGTTATGGATTACTAAACTTAAGCCACATAGTTTTTAGTACTAAGTCATTATACTATCGACACACTAAAGTTGTCACAAATACAAATTATTCAAGCTCAAGTACCAGGTACCTACTGTACACTATTAAGGAGTTCCCTTAGCTAACATACTAATTCATCATCTGACTTTTAATTACAATCAAACCCTATCTAGTTGTAAAATCCTCATCAATACAAATTAATCAAACCCAAACACAATGTAGCTACTGTTAACCGTTGAGGAGCTCCCTCAACTACTACTTAATCATCAGACGCCTAATGACAATGACCCTCCATCTAAGTGCCAAAACAATTCTAAGCCCAAACACGGGGTCACAGGTGTAAATCCTCGACTGACGTTCGGATCGGCTCATCATCAGATCGACTCCAGACTTTTATCAAATGGAAGTGGTTTTAAATAGTTCATGTGGAAATGGGACCACCTCGAGAGTATAACCTTTCCAACAAAAAATAAATAATCATTCAAATCCGTCCACCTACGTAACATACGGCCGAATTCATAAGCTCTCCTCTTTGAAAAGTCGGTTAAAAAGAGAAATTTGCTCAAACACCTCCACAGTGCATGCAAGCACGCGGTTCTATGAAGTCGTGGAACCACTACAGCTAGCTCATTTGTGTCGAAGCATGATTTTATAGGACACACGTGGCCACGTATACATATAAATGAGTATAACGCAGAGAGTAACAAACATTCGGACGGCAGACGTCCTCACCCGATCTCCCGCCACCGTAAGCGCGGGCCTGCGGACGGCGAGCATGGGTGGCTCCCCGTCCGACCAGAAACAGACCCGAGCGTACGGCGCGTCAGACCACCAGCCATCAGACCACCACAGAGGGTGCCCAACAGGGCCGATGCCGATTCGGAGTCGCGGAGAACCTAACGGGTAACCGGGGCTCCGGCTCGACGTGCAGGAGAAGAAACGGGGTGGTTTTTAGTCAGTAAGAGTCTGACATTCCCTCCCGCCTCATCCAGACGGGAGCAGAAATTCGATGATCCCCCCCCCCCCCCCTAAAAAGACGTCTTCACCCAGTTCCTTAGTTTTTAGATAATGTTAGGAATAAGTAGAAGAGGGTGCAAACGTCCTTTTTATAAATCTGATTTTAAGTAAAAGTGGCCATCTGGACGTAGAAGTAATTTAAAAGTATAATCAAAAATTATAGAAATTATTTAAACGTAATGGCTTTCAAGGAAAATGGCACAGGTTCCCAAGTTTAGATTACAGTGGAGAAGGACTGTAAAGAAATGTAATAATGCGGGTCCGAGGAGCGCGTGTCGAGCCGAGGCGCAGTAGTGTGCAGTGTGTGTGTGTCGCAGGTGTTCGACGAGGTGTGCGTGGAGCTGGCGATGGCCCTGCTGCAGCTGCTGGCCTGGGCGCCGCCCGAGGAACTGCTGTGGCGCGCCACGCGGGCGCTCGCTCGCTTCGCCGCGCACTCGCACGACGTGCCGCAGCTCATCGCCATGGTGGGGCCCGACCCCGCCGCCTTCAGGTACCGCGCCCGTCCTCGTCCTCGTCCTCCCCCCCACCCCCCGTGTCGCGGTCTCTCACTGTCTGTCCGTTACAGGGGCACGAGCCCGCGCGTGGACGAGCAGATAGACCTCATCATGAAGAGAGTGAAGTGAGCCGAGGTCAGCCTTGTCTCTGGTGCTAGTCAGGGCACGTCGTTATGGTTACCGTTTGCTACTCTTTTCTGTTAATGTTTTTATTTGTACTGGACACCAGCCGGTGCTCGAGGGATGTAGATTTGTATAGACGCGCGCGCCGCCGGCTGCTCGATTGTAAATAATACGATTTCCTGTTAGTGCTAATATTATATTAAGGCGACAAATTTAGTGTAAGTAGCTTCTAATGAGCTTAATATGTATAAATTATATACAATTATACACACAAATGATATTATTCATATACAAATGCTGCATGCTAACACGTGGCGGCTATCGTGCATTTACACATAATGTATGCTTATAATAAATTTAAAAGAATTTAATAAATGTTTGGTATACTGGGCAGTCGGTTGTGTTATTTACTACAAAGCAACGCGAGCTGTGCTACAGGGGTCTCCTGAAGCAAACACATGTTCCTAGCGCTCTCCATTAACAAAGCTCCACATCGACATGCTGCGCCGGCCCTCGCTCGCTGATATCACATAATGACTACTACTAGCGACTTGTTACTTCTTTCACTTCTCAAATGCTATTTCCATGGAGGAGCAGATGCCGTATGAAAATAAGCGTAGGTATATTGTATGAAGGCTACAGGTAACTAGGCAAATATATAGGCTGAGTGTTGGACTCTATTTGGAGAAAACACCCAGCGAGACACGAAACCAATACCGTGGTTGTAACTAGTTGTAAGTATCAAAGTGAATTTTGTATTTTTTGATCAAATTTTAGAGACCTCTAAAAATTATTTACTTTTCTAAAATAGGTAGCTAATTTACCCGTCCCATGGATATGTACTGCGCGTGTCTACCGGAGACGGCGCAACTTGTTGCAGGGTAAGTCAGACGCTGGCAATCTTAATACAAAATATTACTCATGGCCGCGCCACCAGCACACGATCCGTTTGGCGACAGTCACTTGGTTGCGCAACCAAGTTGACACCCTTTATAATACTGTACACAAGTTTTGGTTGCGTGGCTATTCGCGCGATAAAGGTGTCCTAATGAAATTTTAATTCTGACAATGTGGAGCGAGCTACTCGAGCTCGTTACTAGGTGTTTATTTATTAAGTACCTAAATAATGTATCGTTATGGAGTCTTGAGTCGCTTTGAAACAAAACAACAACGACGACGACTGCAGCTTTACATCCAACCACTGCAGGGCCACGTCTGATGTTCCATAAAAATCATAATTACTATAAATGTAGACTTCACTCACATCCGACATACCCAGCTCGGTACATACGTACTAGCTTGTTCGATCAAGTGCCAGTTTTTCTAGTTTCGCAAAATGCTAATACAACCGTATTCTTACATTTTAAATGATAATTAAAATATTAAGTAATTTGTTGTGTTAGCTTACGTAACTGTCGGTTTCGATATTAGCACAGCAGTGACCGGTGGCGGTATGCCCGATCACTAGCCACAAGCACAGAGATTTTTAAAAAGGGGGGACATCATCGTATACGTTCTCCCGCCCGGGCGAGACGAGAGGGAGTGTCAGACTCTTACTGACTAAACTGCCCCGTTCATACTCCTGCTCTTCGAGTTGGGGTCCCGGCAACACGTCAAGTCATCGCGGACGGCGAGCAGGGTTAGCTCGCCGCCGGTGAGCGTGCACGCCTGTGGATACGGTGGCCGGAGATAATATTTCGCAATCCCCGACGCCCGGAGTGTCCCTCGCGACGGCTGAGTTGTGAGGAGGTTACGGATCTCTACCTCACGCGGGGGCGTGACAGCTTCGCAAAAAGAAGAAAGGGCATGGGGTGGTCTTTCCTCTTCGCTCCACATTATGGCCCGAACGCTACAGTTCGCAATATCCGTAACATTGTGTGATACATAGATAACAATCACAATTACTAGTAGATAAATAAATATCTGCCATTATAGCTAACCGTGTCAATGTCGTTGCAACTATGCCACCACAATACATAATATTTGTATCGACCTATCTCCTCTGCAACATCATGGACATTTACAAGTCAATACATGTATGGGCTTCATGTGCTCACTAATCTAGTGATCTATATTATATAACACAGGCACAACAGCCGCGTCTCGAATTGGAAAGTTTTGGGAGTTTTCTCGTTCATTAGTAGCATGGAGTCTAGAATGGCACCTTAGTCGTAGCAATAGGTTGAAGCAGTCATGCTAGCTAAGGAGGAGGCGGGACGCGTTAGGCAGCGAAGCGCCGCCTCCTCGGAACCCAGCTATCGCGAAGGACACACCGGGCGTCGGGGATCGCGGGACGATCTCCGGCCACCGTAAGCGCGGGCCTGCGGACGGCGAGCATGGGCGGACCCTCCCGCCGCGGGAGCAGTCATTCGATGATTTTCCCCACTTAAAAAAAAGTCATAGCGATAGGTTTGCCCCCTGCCGGGCACGGCAGAGTAGTAGAACTGTTATGCTTTGTGCTCTGACATTACGAAGAAAGTATTTTTTTTTTCTATTAAATATTATATACACAATTTTTAACATAGGTATGTATTGCGAGAGTTTACGGTCGCGATAAGGCTCTACGCGCTTGTTCACACATGAAACTGTCACGATCACTTGACGACATTATCAGAGCCAGCGCGTAGTTCCGGCATTGTCATATGGTATATTTACTACACCAACATGAATGAACACCTTCCACTACCACTAGTACTTCAGTCACTTGTGTACACAACTACACACACACAATGTACTACGATTGAAACATAGCTCGAAACAAACCAAACTATGTAGTTTTGTCATAAAAATATGTGTATACCTAACTCTATTATGCTATTTTACTTCTTAAGAACTGTACAAAAGGAGTTGTCGCAACTGGTCGCTTTGTAATATCCAAGAGTTTTTGCGACAAGTTGCGAGTGCACTGTTAGCGCAGTGGCTACGCGCGGAGCGACTGTGTGTGTCATGTTGTTCCACGTCACGGAGTGGTGTGTATGTTTGTAAATGCACCCACGACCCAGAGTGGCGCAGCACTAGCTGACAGTCAGTGCGTTACTCAACTGCTGAGTGTTTGACTATTTGATCGAAAGATGTATCAGTAGCTATGTATAGTTAAATACATGATCAACATTAATTTCATGGACACGTTAGACGCGTTGGATACTGCAGTTGTACGTGTAACTTGTACATCACCTCTGAAACATCGTAAGTATGTAGGAGTAGCAGAACAAGTTGCTTCGCTCTGAACAATAGATGAGTACCTGCTTACCTGCATAAAGCAGTTGGAAGTTATTCTTGCCATCGCTAGTTCGAGAAGGTAAGTAATTTGGTTATCTGTGTACAATCTGGTGCACCACTGCGTGCCTATGTAAGTATTATCTGTAAAAATATATATCAACGTGACTTTCAATTTCAATTTGCATGGCATTACATCTGTTTTCCTAGGTCGATGTGAGATTACGGTTCGCGAATTCGCAAATAATAATTTAACTTGTTTGACTGGTAGAAAACTTATTGCAAAATTCCGGGTAAATTCTAGATACTTGTGTTAGTTTTGACCCCATCCCAGGATAAAACACCTCCCAGGTTCCCCTTTCTCATTCATTACCTCTACAACAATGAAGTTCACACCTAATTTAATTTATTTCTACGTGCCACCAATTGGTGCATTTCTTATTAAGTGTAACATTCTACGGGAACTTTATAAGTAGGTTCCTAATACCAATATGAATAATAAATAGCATCTTAGCTCTTTATGTTCTAACGACTCTGTCAATTATCACTAATCTCTTACAACTGGTTTTTCAATCACGAGGCAGTCATTGGTGTGAAGAGTTTATATGTATCAAAGATGAATGAACGTTGATATTTACTGTAAGCCAGCGACAGTCCGCGCCCCGTGACCCACTCATGTGTCTCTATGTACGTAGTTGTTTGAGGTTCAGGCAACATGCAGTCCTGCGTGCGCGGCGCGGTGGGCGGCGCGCGGCGGCCCCGGCCAGCGCCCGCTACACTTGTTTACGTCCGCTCGACTAGGGGCAGCCTAAGGTGGCCTTACCTATGATGTTATCTGCGAATTATACACGAAACTCGCTTCATCTGTGACACCACTTGTGCGAGGTTTGAGTAAATCACTTTAAAATTCAAATCCATTTGTAGTATGAATCTCTGTGCGTGTGCGTGTGAGTGGTGACGGAGCATTACTGTGTATTTGTGAACTGTTCACTGTACTGACATCCCACCGGAGTGTGGCAAGTGCAAGTTGTGACTACAGGACTGCTATCTGCGAGGAAGGTATTAGCTGACGCGGAGCAGGTGACCCTCGCTCGGGGCACGGAGCGCCTGCGCCGCCGCAAGCACACGGGTGCTACGGATCGCGGTATCTCCGCTGTTTGCTGTGCGCTGTTTACACATAGGAATGGTTTACTGATATCGAGATAATGAATTAAATTATAACGAGCAGTAGCTCGCCCGTCTGAAAGCACATTGAGTTTCTCTCGGCCGTCGGCGGATTCGGACGCGCAACTCACACTACTTAACTAAAAACTTTACAAATTATACAAAGGTAGTCGGTGCGTACATAAACAAAAGTATAATTACGAATAGGTCGTAAGCTAGCATGGAGGAGGAAGGTCTGCCGGTGTCGTGGCGCGGCGCGGGCGACAAGGCGGGCGGCTGGGCGCGGCTGGCGCGGCGGCGCGTGCCGCTGCTGCGCTGGCTGCCGACGTACGACCGCGTGTCGGCGCTGGCGGACCTGGTGGCCGGCATCACGCTGGGGCTGACGCTGGTGCCGCAGAGCATCGCCTACGCCTCGCTCGCCAACTTGCCCGTACAGTACGGGCTCTACTCCTCGTTCGTCGGTATGTTACGCATAACATGAAACTGGTTTTCCTTTAACTTGTAGCTTTATTTAAAACAATACATGAAATCGTGTTTGTTATTTCCCGTAAAAGCTAATTCATAGTTCGACAGAGAAACTTATCTACGGAGGCTAAGGCTATTTTTATTGCAAAAGGTCTGCTTTAATGTCTATAGATAGTGTCACTGAGTTCATGAATGACACAATTATTTGACTAAATTGTATGAAATATTATTTTATTGACTAGTTGTAAATTTATTTTGTAAATAATTTATTATCATTACGAATAATTTATTATATATATATACATATATAAAGAAAGAAAGTTGTGTTAGTTACACTATTTATAACTCAAGAACGCCTCAATCGATTTAGATGAAAATTGGCAGGGAGGTAGCTTAGAACCAGGAGATGGACATAGGGTAGGTACTTTTTTACTTTGTACCGAAAATTACGAACGGGAACGGGGGAAAAATGGGATTGCGCGTACGAAGTCGCGGGCAGAAGCTAGTAACTGATGAATGTGTTATATTCAATAATATTCTGACAAATCTAAAATTTAATATATTGCTATCTAAGGATTTTCTCTGATAATTTAAAATTATTAAAAGTTCATTGTTTTAGCTACGACGTTGCATAGTTATACTTAGCATGCCATGGTGACTGGTAAACATGCCTTACGTGTAAATTTATCTTGATCATTCTATATGTACATACATACACACGTGTTTTTGCGAATAAATGATTTGATTTGATCTAGACATAGCAAAATATAATTTGAATTCCTGTAGCGGGGCAAATATTTAAAAGGTCGCCAGTGGGATGCCTACATATATATAACTTATTGTTATTATTAGATCTATACTGTTGGACTAATCCGATTATGTTAGAGCCTATTGCGCCACTGACAACGCTTCTGTGAGGAAACAGTGAAAGGAATAGATTAATTTAGAAGCAATGGCTTGATTCAATAGTAAACTCATTTGCTGACAATATCAAATATTACAATTGTATTACATATTACTTCGGTTTTCGAATCGCAAAAAAAAACTTCATCGTAAAATTACATCCAAAATATTTTTAAGGTACAGGTACATTTGTAAGGTATGTACCTACAAAAGAGATGAGCGGAAGGTGAGTAGGGAGGCTTATAATATTCGTATCATGTAGGTACTTACATGTGCTCTTTGCTCGATGGCTACCCTCGAGCTGAAGCAGGTAAACATACCTACGTAAAAAGATGCAGTGGAATTGATGGGTGTCAAAGTCAAAGCATTTACATATTTCAATTAATTCATAATTAAGTACTTTTGAAATGTCAAAATTAGATTGCCCGTCTTTAACTCCTAAATTAATAATAACATATCTGTGTAACAGTGATCGCTAAACGTATAATAAAAAGCCCAAGACAACAAAAAAGTACACAATATAAGTAACCTATATAATTATGTAAGTCTGTATCATTGCATAGCTACATACCTATATTTCACGTTCTTTTTAAATGTAATCGTACCTGCCTATATATACCTGTTGGTTTCCCAAGTGTTCAATAAATAAATGACATTTACGTAAATAATTGATCACTCACTAGTTCACTACTACGATCATAAGATTTTTACTAGAAACTCGTACAACGTACCTAGATAAAGTTCTGTACCTGTACCTGTACTTATATACCCGTCTCCCGTCTTTAATAGAATAGCCAGTTCCTAGACTTAGTTTACTCCCTAGAACAATGCCTAATTTGTATTATTATGAAAACACATGCCAGTGTTTATAATAATATAGTATGTCACAAGAGTGGTCGTTCCTTGGCGCGTGTCGCTCGCATGGATTTACTTCAATATTATTTTGGTTATGCAGCGCCCGCTAGTTTTTTTTAAATATAATTTAATTACACATTCATAATGTACGTGACTATGTACCTACCTATATTTGACAGGTACACTACTCCCTACTTCCCTATCAGCTACACTTACCACCGGCAGGCAGATCACCTGAAGGTAAGCTGTAAGCCATTTGCGCCGGCCATGGACTCCCGCAACAAATCAAAGTTTGAAGGGTCGTAAGCAACGACCACAGCTTCGAAAGTTATAGCCTTGATTCTTCGGCCTGGCCTCTCCACAGTCGGTTGAGGCTAGAAAACTGTACAAAATTATTATTATAGGTTTAAGGTGTCGGGTAGACCAATTAGTACCTAATATTAAGTGCCGGTTTCACTACCTCCATTTAAGTATCTGATAAACTTATGTGACAGATAGTTCATACAAATTACATTCTTAATTCAAATTTATCTGGTAGATACGTAACGGCTATCCAGATATTGTGAAACAGGCCCTAAGTATTAAATGTATTATAAATCATTCGTGTACGCAATAATCGGGGTGACATTTTCTATTGAAAAAACCCCTGTAAAAAATAATAATAAAAAATAATTTGGCCATTTTTAAACTCTTTCCGTACGCAGCCTACGAGATTAGCAATGAGAAAACTGCTACGCGCGACGGACTAAGAGCTACGTACTATGTGCTACGAGCGACGGCTGTAGTGTTGTCAATGAAAGTGTAAAACTAGGGCTTATTGTAGAACTGTAGGCATGTAGGGTTAGAAGCTTAGCTCTACATAATATCTGATTACTTCTTTACAGTTTCACCTATAATTATTATGGTCTTGGCTTGCCAGCACTTTACATCAAAATATTAAAAACTATCTACTTCCACACGGGTTCACCTGCGCGGCTCCTAATGATCGTAGCCTTTTCCCCAATAAATGAACTATTCAACAAAAAAAAGGGCCAATTTTTTTTCAAATCGGACCAGTAGTACCTCCACACAAACAAACAAACTCTTTAGCTTTATATAATAGAAGATTATAGTATTGTTGTGAGTAATACATTTTAAACTGGATACAAGCACTTTAATTAATGTCAGTCGAGAATTTGGAATCTCCCAGTGTTACTGTTATTCCGCACCTTACCCTTGTGTGCAGGAACGATGCTGTACGTGGTGCTGGGCACGGTGAAGGAAGTGTCCATCGGGCCCACTAGCCTCATGGCGCTGTTCACGCTGCAGATCTGCCGCGGCCTGCCCGTGGAGTTCGTAGTGCTGCTGACCTTCCTGTCTGGCTGCGTCGTGCTCATCATGGGGCTGCTGCGGCTGGGTGAGCGCGTCTCGACGATATCGTCCAGTGTCACACTCATCACAACTTGTTTCCAACAGAACGTCACGACGAATCTGTTTACTACTTACACTTATCGGACATTATTTACGATATGTCTGAACATTTTAATTTCACTTAATCTACGTAAATATTATGCAAACATTTACTTAACTGAGTAAAGTACTAAAGTCGTTGTGTGAACAACGCAGTAGCTGCAGAAGCGGAAGTATCCACAGTAGTGGCTTGCAGTAGCAGCGTGGTTACAGCTCACAATATAACATGATGACACCAGTGTTGTGGATAGTAAAGTATCGTGTACCGGTGTGTCAGGTTTCTTGGTGGAGCTGATATCTCCGTCGGTGACGAGCGGGTTCACGTCAGCCACGGCTATTATCATCGTGGCGGCGCAGCTCAAGGGGCTGCTCGGGCTGAGCTTCACGGCGGAGTCCGTCGGCGACAACATCCGGCTCATCGTCACCAAATGGGACGACATTCGCTACGCGGACTGTGCCCTGGGCGCCGTCTGCTGCACCGTGCTGCTCCTGCTACGGGTACTGTGTGTGTGTGTGTGTGTGTGTGTGAGGATGTGTGTGTGTCGGCGCGTCACTGACGGCGGTCCCCCTCGCAGAAGCTGAAGGACGTGCGCGTGCGCAGCCCCCGCGTGGGGCGCGCGCTGTGGCTGGTGTCCATCAGCCGCAACGCGCTGGTGGTGCTGGCCGCGTCGTCCTTCGCGTACCTCACGCACCACCCCAACCAGCCGCTGTTCAAGCTCTCCGGTACTGACACATATTATTTATCGCATCTGAATATTGTCTATAAATGTCGCTGATAACGTTATTGACAAATATTTTTGAAGTAATTTCTAAAATTGAATCTCTTCTTGGTAAACAAACAAAGGCTACATGATGCGTAATTGTATGTACGTAGTTTAGGTAAGTAGTACCTGCGTAGGTATGTACCTACCCAGTGTTTGTGTATTAGAATTTATACAAACATTAACAAGTTTTATTTTAGCAAACGTATTACGTGTCAGGTCGCGTGGAGCCGGGACTGCCGCGGCTGTCGGTGCCGCCCTTCAGCGCCTCCGTGGACAACAGCACCGTGACGTTCGTGGACATGGTGCAGCAGCTCGGCTCCGCCGTCATCATGCTGCCCATCGTCATGGTGCTCGCCAACATCGCCATCGCCAAGGCTTTCTGTAAGTGACGCGGCGCGGCTGCGGCGCGGCGCCGGCAGGCTGACGACAGCGAGCGTGTTGCAGGCGCGGGCGGGCGCGTGGACGCCACGCAGGAGATGGTGACGCTGGGGCTGTGCAACATGGCGGGCGCGCTGGTGCACGCCATGCCCACGTGCGGCGCCTTCACGCGCTCCGCCGTCTCGCACTCCAGCGGCGTGCGCACGCCCGCCGCCGGCCTCTACTCCGGTGCGTACTCGGCCCTCCGACCTCCGCCCTCCGCCCCGCCGCCCCTCCGCCCCTCCGCCCCTCACCGCGCTGTTTGTGCTTGCAGGAATCATCACTCTGCTGGCTTTGATATTCCTCACGCAGTACTTCTACTTCATCCCGAAGGCGTGTCTTTCGTCCGTACTCATCTGTGCGGTCATATTTATGGTCAGTACTTCTTCTTACGTGGTTATGACGTTATATTCATTCTCACATATTCGACTACGGTAGTGTACATGTACATACTACACTTTCCAACTATATAAGTCAAATTCAATAATTATTTCAACTATCAAAAACATTAAAATTGTGTTTCATATCACAAATGTTAAAAATGGTATTTCTTTTACTACTGACACTATTTTATTTTGTCGCTGATGTCGCAATATGACTAAAACTCAAGATACTTACCGCAAAATTATCCAACCAATAACGATGCCGGCTCTAATGAACCAACCAATCAGAGCGCTGAACGCGGGCTTGTTTCGATTGCGTCAGACTTCAGAGCGCCAAATTGGTAAGGTAGTCCTTTTATTCCTGGCGGCGACAGATTGTAGTGGCAATCCTTATCATAATAGTTATAATCTCATCTCTCCATTTCTTTTTTATTTTTTTAGCTTAAACTGGTAAACGAGCAGACGGATCACCTGATGGTAAACGTGGTCCATGATAAACGTAGAGGATAATATTCTATACTCTAGAGCAATGTGGCATACGACCACGGTTATCCTAAAATGTTCTTGTTTGATACATTTTAAAGCGTGTTGTTTCTTGTATACGTGTTCGAATCTTGCAGGCAAATATTTTTTCACTAATCTATTAATTTTACATAGGTACGCATCACACCTGACCACCAAAACTATATTACCTACCTTAGAACAATTCGCGGATTACATAGAGTTGTTGTGATGTTTATTATCAGCTATTAGGCACATAGACCTCCTCAGCAAACCAAGAATTGTATTGTGAACCTGCGGGGGGGGGGGGGTAATTGGGCCTCCGATAACGTCACTCACACGACGAAACACAACACAACGTTGTTTCACGTCGGTCTTCTGCTCGGCCGTGTAGTATCACTCCGGTCGAGCCGGCCTATTCATGCCGAAGCAATGCTCTCCCACACTTAAAAGAGTACACGAGGACCGATCGACGACTGACATTTTTAATATTTTTGCATACTTCGTGGATAGCGGATAAGTCTCTGGTGAATCGTGATCCGTACTCAGACATGGCCGTGTAGTGACGCTCCGTCGCGATAACCTCCGCCAGTTTAATTCAATCTACCGCAGCGCCGCTCTTTGTAGAACAATACCGCAGAGATATTCCAGGAAGCGCTCATGTGAATGTACTATTCATTGATTCATTATTATTTACAATGTTGTTATGAAACCGTATTTACTCTATTTTTAGAATATCTCAGTACTCGGTAGGTATGTTTACTGCACACTCTACGTTACAACTTACAACATGTTATTTCTATGTAGGTTAGTAAATATAGTATATGGATTGGACCTCTGTTTTGCTTTCTCTTGATGCAGTTGATTACATTATTGGATCTCGTATAACTACTCTGCTATGTATTTATTAGTGACAGTAAAATTACGAAAGAGAACATTCCGTGTTCAACCGTTTGCCAGTCCAACAGTTGGTGGCTAGTAGAGCCGACAGAGTGTAGTGTACGGTGCGGCAGGTGGACGTGCGCTCCGTGGCCCGGCTGTGGCGGCGCGACCGGCGCGAGCTGGCCGTGCTGGCGCTCACCTTCTGCGTCAGCATCGTGCGCACCGTGGAGCTGGCCGTGCTGGCCGGCGCCGTGGCCTCGCTGGCCGTGCTGCTGCGCCAGCTCATGCGCCCCGACATCCAGCTGCACTGCATCAAGGTACCCCCCTGCGCGGCCGACGGCGCCCGAGCGCGCGGGACGGCCGCGCCAGTAACGTGTGGGTGTCGCAGACGGCGCACGGCGAGGCGGTGCGCGTGCGGCCGGCGCAGGGCCTGGTGTACGTCAACGGCGAGCTCGTGGCGCGCCGCCTGCTGGCCGCCGCCGCGCGCGCCGCGCCGCGCCCCGTGCTGCTCGACTGCGCGCATCTCGCCATGCTGGACTACGCCGCCATGCAGGTACGCGCCCTCGCGGCCTCGCGACCTCGCACTCTTGCGCCCTCCATGCTGACGCGTAACGTGCGATGTATACGTTTCAGGTCCTGGAGCGGCTCATAAAGAAATTGAAGGCCGACGAGCAGCTACTGATCATGTACAACGTGGCCGAGCAGCTGGTGGCCAGGTTCGAGCTCCTGGAGGGAGTGGAGCGGCGCGGCCTGCGCGCCACGTCCGCGGCGGAGGCGCTGGCCAGCGTGGCGGCCGCGCAGCTCCCGGCCGGGGAGGACAGCGCCGCCTTGTTGGCGCCCGCCGAGCCCGAGCCGGACGCACTGCAGCCCTAGTGGCGCGGCACGCGGGCGGAGGAGGCGGCAGGGGCAGGGTTACTTGCGTTTGGTTAACGTTTGTCTAACTAAAGACAATGCTAAAAAATGTATAAACCCCATCCTCACCCTTGTAGCAATTTGAGATCTATAGTCCATTCTAGACCAATCGAAGATCCTTTGCCTCCCTAACATTAAATTGTATGACAGCGAAACTGAAAAGTTTGTCAAAAACCTTTGGGTACCTACACTACTAGAGTCGGAAATAATTATAATAATACTGACGCCTATAAATTTACCCACAAAGTATTTTTGGGTTTAAAACAACATGCGAAGGAGCCCGTGGTCCGTGGCAGAATGTCGGTAGACATCTAACGAGAGCTTCCTTTTGAGCATCCAGTCGTAGTGGATGTTCCACAAGTGAGGTCCCAATACCGAGCCTTGTGGAACCCTATACGTTGCACCGATGTGTGGCCATTCTAACCGTCTGTACCTACTACAATTAAGTATTGTACTTTTAGCTTTAATCATACCAAAGAGCCTGCATTGTAAACCCTTAATAAACATATTAATTTGTAAGTAATTTGTATTGGCCCATCTGATGGAGACAAACAAATAATTATGGGATTCGCAGTCAACAATAAAATTATAAGGTGACTGAGGCATTTCGATTAGTATAGGTCTCAACGTGCTACTATAGGGTGGGCACATTATGAGCATTAAAAGTCAAAGTATTTATTTCAATGAAATCATTAATCGGTACTTTTAAAACGTCAATAAATAAAGAGATAAATAAAAATAGTCTGTCAGTCTGTCAGAAGTTATGTGCTCGTTCCAAAATATAGATTTGAATGGAGTAGAACGAGCAAGAAACTCCATTGTCCTAAGTGATAATACAGTTAACGCATCGAATGGGAACCAGTCATTAATTAGTCGACTATCAATTCCGCAGTGTACGCAGAGTCAGTGACACAATTGAATTTAAGCGAAGTATGTAAATTATTATGTTTTCGGCTTACTCACAAATGTTTGACGAGGAACTCTACTAGTTTCAAGCCATGCTATATATAGCTCACATTTATGCGCCGCATCGCGGGTATCATTCTGCGACTGCGACGCCGCGACTGTCGCGCAACTGAGTTACGTGAGTGAGCCGAAAACATAATAATGAAGTTAGTAGTTATGTCTCACGAAATGTTTTAATATAAACGAGGTATGTATTTGGTACTTACTACCTGAGTACGTACTCACTAGTAAGTGATGACAGGGCGGCGCGGGCCGTGCAACACTACTAGTCTACGTAAACTATTCCAATATATCTATTGAAACATTATACAAAAATACATTATAAATATAGATGGAAAATAATTACTTTTTCCTCATGAATACATCCACAAAATAACGAATATTATTTCTGCAAATCTCTATACTTACTCATAATTTCTTCAATTCATAATTTGTTATGTAAGTAGCTAACTACTCCCGCGCTCTCACTGTTCGGCTTTTATAACTTATCTTAGTAAATGGATTGTCCAACCAAAAAGATTTGTTCAATTCGTGCAAGTAGTTCCGGAAATTAACACGTTGAAACAACTTTGTAATATTATTAACTTATTTATAGTTGATCGAAGATGAATGTTAGATGAAGCATGCCGTGTTTATTTATTTATCATCACGCTTACATCTATCTTTGCAGGAAGACCTAATGTGAATAGAGAAATTACTTTAAATAAAATGTTAATTTTCATTGTTAATTATCGTTTTATGGTTCGGAATTAAGAACATCCGCGCTACGAGTTAGTGGCGGAAACCTACCAGAGAGTCCAGAATAAAGCTACGCAGTACCCGTGTTGTCACTGTGTGAGTGCTGGGAGTGGTCCGTAGTCTGCGCCGGCGCCGCGCTGCAGACACTGTGGCCAGCTGGCAAGCTAAGTCTGATCAATTATCGCACGACTACTAGGTTTAAGATTGACTAGTCTTACTTATACTATTTTAGCATAAAATTGTAATATAAACGAAATAAAAGTGACTCAAAACTACACTTCAACGCTTATTATTATCGTCAAAACAGTCAATGTTTTGCATGGAACCATTTTCACCAATATATTATGTACTTGCTTCTGCCAGCGGCTTCGCCCGTTTTTCCACGGGTAATAATGTGTTACTCCAGGTCATTATATTATACTACCGCCGCGCCGCGACCCGCGTCGAGCCCGGCAACCGTTACAGAAAAATAATCCTTATAGGTAGCATGATTCAGTATTCACGCACGACGGGCGCGATTAAATTACAAAAAAGCTGTCGATTCTAGAGAATTGTGAGTAGTTCAATTTTGTAGTTAACGTTTTCTCGTAAAATGCACAGGAAGAGATAATGTAATAATACTGTTTATGGCCGCCATTTTTCCAAGATGGCAGCACGAGCGACGCTTGTAAAAAGGTACAAAATGGAAATCCAAAAGAGCACATCAAGATTTACAAAATTGCGATTTTCAAAACTCCCGGAACATTCCAGGTAGAACTATCAAATTACTGAACTATTAGGCAACCATTAAGAAGAGATTTAAAAAAAAATCACTTTCATCACTCACTACATAGTATAAAACAAAGTCGCTATCTGCCGTCTGTCTGTCCTTATGTATGCTTAAATCTTTGAAACTCCGCAATCGATTTTAATGCGGTTTCTTTTAATAGATAATATATTGAATTTTAAGAAAGGTTTGTAGTTTGTATGTATAATACATGCATATTGCACCCGTGCAAAGCTGGGGCGGGTGGCTAGTAATACATAAACTAATATAATATTATAACTGTATGTCTGTACCTACACATTCAAATAAATATGTAGTATAATTCGGAACTGGGGCTATAGTACCTACTTTTGGTCACCTGTGCCAAATGTAGGTTTTTTTTGTTCAATCACTGCAACTATCTAATATTGAACGTCCAAAAAAAAACAACTACTTATTACAACAACAAGAAAAACAGAAACGGAAAATAAAATGACCACCCCAAAGAGTATAATAATATGTATTATAGCCCAAGCCCGGCACGGAGGTGGACCCAACTTAACGGGACGTAGTACCTACTCAAAATGTTGCCATTTCAAATAAGTACTAGTCTATCTATAATTATATTTCTACATAACGACAATTGATGGATGATAAAAGCGAACAGAATATATTTTGTCTTTTCCATTCATAATAGCATGGTATTTTTATAACTACGTATTTGTTTTTAGGACAATAGGGCAAATTGTAGGATTCTTAGAGTCATTGTACGTACCAAAGAGTATAAGTACGTACACAGTTCTAGTCCTCGTATTTCTTGACCATTCATTGACATTTCCTCTGTCTCTGAATGAATGAATGAACTGTACCTGAGTCAATTAGAGTATGATTGGAGTCAACTTCATGTGAACTATGCTTCCATCATTCGTCCATCGTTCGGTTCGGTTTCGGCGTTCGTTCGTTCGGTGATTTAGTACATCGACTTTTCAGTTTCTCGTGTCGACGTACGACTTTTAATTTTTAATATCATTTAATTATGTGAAGTGTGACATAAAAGCCTGATGTTATGTTTAAAATATGGTTTAGATTAACGTGAAGTTACATGAAACATCTAGTTATAATGTTAGGATAGTTTCGTTATCAAGTGATTATCGACCTCATTCGACTGTTTATGTTTAGTAAACGGGTAAGGGTTTAACAAAGTTTGTTTTGCAAACAGATAGTTTACCCTCAATCAAACTTAAGTCGGTGTGAAGTAGCTAAGTGCTGTGCTATTAAATCAGTTATGTTCGTGATATGAGTTGGTAACGATGGGCAAAATGTGCAAAGTGGTGTTGTGTCTTTGTATGGCGGTGTTGAGCTGGGGCGGCGCGGCTGCGGAGATTGGGCACAACATGAACAACATCTCGCGCAGCATGCTCGAGGAAGTGACGGACGTGATGGATATGGTGGAGGTGATTTACTCCGAACCAGTGATCACCCCCAAGTACGTTGCCGAGCTGCAGTTCGATATGCGCGCTATGGGCCCCCTCTACAACTCGACACACATCATCATCGACGCCATCGCTGACAAGCAGGCATATCCAGAAGGTAATTAGTTTCAGCGTTCCATATCCATCCATAATATATTTTCTAATAATGTGCTAATTCTTATTACTAATTCTCTAATAACAAAATGTATTTTAAAATGAGATGTAGACATTCAACACTTTTATTTTGTAGTAGGATGCTTGATTTATTTAACATTCATTTCTATGAATCTAAGTGAAACATTACCATACAATGGGCAAGGTACAATGGTGGCTGTTACATTGCCTCAGCTGGGAACAATGCACAGAACCCACCTGATAGACTTGCTTGTTGGTAATGCATAATTATATTACATATTTTGAGCATTATGATTGAGTATGTTGATTAAAGTTTGTTCAGTAAATTTTAACTTTATTTAACATACCTACCTAATAGTTTTACCACATAGGTATAATTACCTATTACATACGAGTAAGTATGTACACACTTGAGAGATAACCAAGACATAGGGAAATTAGTAAACATAATGCCTCCTGCCATGCCTGCCATGATGAGTCACAATTGTGGAATGTAAAATGAAACAGACACAAGGAGTGAAAATTTTACCACATCCTTAAATTTTTACTAAGAAACTCAAATTTTATTAACTGTATTGCATATTATTTAGCAAGCAAACTAAAACACCAATGCCATGGTCCTCACTTATCTTTTTTTTTAAAATGACGGTGGCAAAAAAGCACTCCTATCAATGTTACATATAAAGTACCTATCTATCATTTTGATCCAGATTAATTTTTCTTGGTACAGGAATAATAAACAAGAATCTTTGTTTTAAATTCTAATCCATATTTTGTTATCACTAACTTCACATGGCAATCAGTTGAACGAGATATAACTTTAAATTAACCCCACTGAGTCTTCCACTATCATAATCCTGTAAACGAGTGTGACCCACTATCTGTACCCTTACTTGCATTAATTCTTTGACTTCAATATTAGGAGTAAAGCTAGGAGCTTTTTTTATCATACTAGCAGCCCATTTTGGCTTTGCTCAGGTTCTGTTCCCTGACGTTTCTTGGGAAAATGAATTTATAAGGGGTCCATTTTGACATGAGATCAAATTCACCGCATACAGTGGCAGTACTGTGGGTGCTATGTGTTAGTCATCTCATGTGCTTCATTGTCAACATTCCTAACAGTCCTATTTAATCATAGCAGGTAAGCTTCAAGTAGAGCTTTTATAAGATTTGGTCTAGATTACAGCTGGGCATGGCACAGAGACCGTGGACAGTTTCTATCCCTACTATTGAAATTCTTAAACATTTGTAGATAACCTTGAGGTTATTAGGAACACTGCTAGGTATGTACTATAATTGTAGCTGATTATTTAAAAGTTTAATGATGCATTTTTTCATTAAGTGCTAGGCCGTTCTGTACCCCGCCCTGTGGCGGATATACCAGAATAGTCTTGCTCGACGTATCCGCCTGAAAGAGATAAACGAGTATAGTACTTATATAAAATTAAATAATTTGGCTAATTTTCTTTTCCTTTAGGAGGAACACACTGTATGTATATGTATACTATTACGAGTCGAACAGCGAGGCCCAACGAGGTACCTTTTATAGCAATGAATAAACTTACTCCCATTAGGATATGATCGATCGTTTAATAATTGCTACCGTTGATCGAAGGGTGCGCTCACGCAAGTCACATGTCGCGGTCGTCGACCTTGTCCCTCCAACTCACTGCTCCAGCCTTTCCCCCTTGTGGATGTTGCAAATAACATTTATTTGTCTATGTACATTTTGTATAAGAGGTCAATATGTAGATGTCCGATTAGTTAATGAGTGACCTTTTTGAGAATTATTTAGGTATTTTAATGTTTGAGATAACATCCTACTCTCAACACTTTCATACTTCATATGGCTTAAACACCCAAACTTCTTAGGTACTTAGCGCTTGTCTCACAATGTCTGTATAGCCTCTACATACCGGGTTTGTTATTATTTGTTGAACTTTCTACCACAAAGTTTATCGGATACCTAATTGTGGCCTTGTGGTTGAGTGGTCTCAGATGCTATTGCCGAACAAAGGGTTTTGGGTTCAATTCCCTGATTGGCTAACGATTATTGAGAATTTTCAAATGTTTTGGTATTCGCAGTAACTAGCAAAATCCGTGTTAAAAAAGAATCATCATCCATCATCAATCAATTGTAATAAGACTTCCTATATCTTTGGGAATTAAAAAGCGTAATGTTTTTAAAGAGAAAGCGTTTGACAGTTCCATCGGTAATAATATAGGGACTTAGGCGATGACAAGACAAGCAGCGAACAGAAGCGACATATAAGGCTGTGCAGGCCGTGCTGCGTGGACGCCCGGTCTGGTTGACCCCAACACAAATAAGATAAGCGTCTCTTTCAAACTGTAGGTATTGTTCTAGAGTTTGTTTACAATTTGTGCAATCCAAAATAACTCTTATGCAATTCTAAGAGCATCAAGAGCATAGAGTATGTGTAGTTCAGGGACTGAATAAACGGAAACTTTCATTTGCGGTATGACGTCATACCGATAAATAAAAGGTATCGCTTTATTTCGGTATAGATTTTTTGCTGTACCGTTATTTTTGAAACCGTATATTTCAGTACCTTAATCTTAATAAGAAAAGTTTAAAATAGATATTGACCACGTTAGTTCATCTGTCCTATTTCTCTCACCTTACAGGTTCACATTCGCTTGCTTACTACCGGTTGCCGTTGTTTCGCACCCACAGAAATGTTATATAAAATTAAAAACAGTTGTTATATCTATGTCCGCACCACACTCATCGCACTTATCGCTTTATTTTCCCCAATGGTCAAATCTAAGTTTTTCGGTCCTGATATCCAGACCCCAGCAGTACTGATACCCGTTACGGAGCCGCGGAAGGGCTAACGGGTTGCCGGGGTTCCGGCTAGAAGAGCAGGAGTAGGAACGGGGTGGTTTTTAGTCAGTAAGAGTGAATGACACTCCCTCTCGTCTAACCTAATGTGGAAGGATATTGGATGATTTTCCCTCGCAAAAAAAACCGTAACGTAAAATACTATAACATGTGTAGGTTGACACATCGGTACTTGTCATACGGATATGTGCAGTGTCGTGTACGAAGTTGTAGTAACTATGGCGATATTCTACTCACTAATTTCACTAAATTGTAAACGGTAATAAGTACCTAATAGTAATAATCAATAGTTAATAAGGTCAACGTAGTTCCCTAGAACTAGTTACAGCAGTTTTATAGTGCGAGGCAGAAAGCCTCAAAATTCTGCATTCTACTAGGTCTTCATATCCTTGCAAAGGTTATCAGTGACAATGATCTTTATACTTGTCCGGCGACACTGATAACATTATCGTGACGTTGCTGACACGTCACGGAGGCCATGTGCATCACCGCCGCGTGTGGCGTCCATGTTGATTACATTAACTTCTGTTTGCTCATACTCGCCTAGTACTTTTTCAGGAATTATGTAGTAAAGCGTTTCCTATACACTGTATACACATTATTTTTTAATATTTACTAACACTTTTTTTTTGTTGTAGCTTCGTTTCCACGTGCGTACTTAGGTACGCATTATTATAGTATTAGTACTATTATAAATGTCGCGGAGAACCTAACGGGTAACCGGGGCTCCGGCTCGACGTGCAGGAGAAGGAACGGGGTGGTTTTTAGTCAGTAAGAGTCTGATACTCCCTTCCGCCTCACCCAGGCGGGAGCAGTCATTCGATGATTTTCCCCCCTTAAAAAAAAATACTATTATAAATACGTTATGTTTATTTATATTATTTAAGTACCTACATATTCGTTTAAAATGTCTTGGTGGCCCGGAGGTTTAAGACGCTCGCTTCTCATGCATGAGGGTGCCGGATCGAAATCTACCAATGCAACGGCAAGTACCAATGTGACATTTTCAGAGTTACATGTATGTACTTTCTAAAATTATTTAGACACTACTGACAAACGGTGAAGGAAAACATCGTGAGGAAACCTGGGCTTATAATTTCTAATTATAAGTTTGAAATCGCCTACCCGCATTGAGCAAGCGTGGTTATTAATGCTCAAACCTTCTCCGTGTGAGAAGAGGGTTTGTTCAGCAGTGGGCATTTATAGGCTGTTGATGATATCCGTTTTCTTTCTTAATTTTTTATTTATTTTATAAGCAAATGCATAATTTTACAGCACAAGCCAAAACATTATACAGTTAAACAATAAAAATTACTTATTTACTACTTACTCTTATGTAATAGGTATCTTATATAAAAAGAACAATAATTATAATTACTTAAAACTAATTCTTCAGCTGTCCATCTTCTCACAAAATCTTACACATTCTCGACATACATCCTTCCATCACGCTGCCAACAAATCACACTCTGGTGCGGATGCCAAGAAAGCATTGATCATCGTTAATGCTCGAACAAGCTGAAAATTTGTATGCACGACTGTTCGCATTACTGGGACAGCCAGTAAGGGGTGCCCACGTGGCCTAAGCTGATGCTTCAGAACTGGGGGCACAAACAACCGCACTACCTGTGCCACTAGCTCCGGACAGTCAGATTGTCCTCGCAAAGTACTACAGGTAGAAATAATAAAAGTAATTTCATCTCACTACCAAAAATTAAAATTTAACATGGCCAATAAAAACTTGGTGGGATATAAGAATGGATAGTAACCAAATAGCTTTTTGTACAGAAATCTAAGAAATGCTTCTTGCACTTACTCCAGCAATAAAGCATAAGTGCTCTCATGAGGATCCTACACAATAGATGCTGGCTCCAGTTTGGTACGTACTAGGGTCATGTACACAAGTTGAATAGGTTTAGGATTATCAAATTCACGCATATTAGCGATAACGAAACCTAATCTGCGATAAGTGTCAGTTGTAAGTAACCTCATATGTTCGTGAAAGTTTAGTCGAGGGTCGAAGACTACACCCACCTGGACGCGATTTATGAGCTCTGACCCCAAAAAATATTTAACTTGCAAAGGATTATGTGTTCGACTAAAGGACATTACATTACACT